GGCTCAGCGCAGCACTCACCACGCAGCCCTGTCTTTATTTGCGATAAGATTACAAATTACACTTTGATCACTCTGAAAAAACTCCCAAAGAAGTGATTTTCAGTAAATACTTGTTTTGGGCTTCCCTGCTGGCTCACTGGTAAAGAGTCCACACGCCAGTGCATAAGGCACGGGTCTGACCACCCCCCCCCCACCCCGGTCTGCACAGATTGCACACGCCGAGGGCAGTGATGCGCATGCGCCACATCCACGGAGCCTGTGCGCCCCAACAAGGGCAGTCAGGACAACGAAGCCCACACAGAACAACTCTAGAATAGACCCCACGTGCCACAGCTAGAAAAAAGCCCGTGCAGCAGCAGAGACCCAGCACAGCCAGAGACAAATTTAAAAACTATTAAAAATTTCTTAAATATTTGTTTTCAATAAAAGAAATATCATGCGTATGGAAGTACTGTGAATTTGAAGAATAAAATGAGCACTTAATTTCACAAGTGAACAGAATCACTCTCCCAGTAAAGCCACCCTGACCAGTCCAGATTCATGGAGGGACTTAGGCGCCTTGCTGAACTGGGGCTCCCTCGGTGCACCACCCCCCCACATCTCACTGTCCACTGGCACCTGCAGCCACAAATCCCTTGATGTGTCGGTTACCCCAGGTCCAGGGTGGTGACCAGACAAGAGATCACAGATGTACCCCACCCGAAGGGTTCCCAGCTGTCCACGCACTTACCTCCGTGGTGATTCTGGTGGTGGGAGCACCCGTCTCTGGGTGACGGGCTCCTGTTACTGAGTCACTGTGCCTTGGCGTCCAGTGAGAACTATTCACAGACGGAACAAAAGCCCAGCAAAACTGCACTTAAGCCAGGGAAGCGGGGCTGCTTCCTGAATTTCAATGAGGGCGTGAAGCCAGGGATCCTGGAAGGTTCTCAGTGGTTGTGTAACTGCTGGCCCAGAGTTCCACTCCATCCTGTGCCAACCCGCGAAGAGCAGGGGGGTCTCTGCTGGTCCACTTGTGGCAGACAGGTTGTGAGCACCAGAGTGGTCCTCTCAGGAGAAAGAGCGTGCCCGAGCGCAGAACTGTACCAAGCTCAGGATCCTAGAAGGCCAGACAGCCCAGTGCTTGACTCTTGGAAACAAGCATGCTTTTATCCAAAGTCTTCCTCTCCATCCTTTCTGGAAGCCCTTTTCCATCCCTGCCATCAGACAAGGAAGGCCCTTCACAAGCTCACACACCATTTGCGAGCTGCGTGACTGGCCTGGCCCTTAAACTGTTTGGGATTCTGACCCACAGGTTCCTGTGCGCCATGAGGGTCCCGCTATGCCCGCTATTTCCACTCAGCACGGAAGGGAAGGGACGGGCGTGCATTTTGCCCAGCCTCTGCTTATTACTCCTCCGTGGCTCAGTCGTGTCTGACTCTCTGCAACCCCATGGACTGCAGCACGCCAGGCTTCCCTGTCCTTCCCTATCTCAAGGAGTTTGCTCAAACTCACGTCCATTGAGTCAGTGATGCCATCCAACCATCTCGTCCTCTGTGGCCCCCTTCTCCTCCTGCCCTCAATCTTTCCCAGTGTCAGGGTCATCAACCTGGTCAGAAGTTGCAAAGTATCGATACTCCTCACTGTCATTCAGCCTTCCCTATTTGCCATTGCTTGTGAACTTCACACACAGTCAGTGCGCTCCAGAACGAAAACCACAGTCACAGAAAATGAACCTAAACGATCACATGGATCACAGCCTTGTGTAACTCAATGAAGCGATGAGCCATGCCGTGCAGGGCCACCCAAGACAGACAAGTCATGGTGGAGAGTTCTGACAAAACGTGGTCCACTAGAGGAGGGAACAGCAAACCACACCAGTACTTTTGCCTTGAGAACCCACGAACAGTATAAAGGCAAAAAGACATGACATCAGAAGATGAGCCCCCAGGTCGGTTGGTGCAGACACTCCGGTGCCCCATGATAACAACGTCAGTCTTTTGTGTTCTCAGGAGCTGAAGCCTTCCACAGAGCTGGCCGCTCAGACCACAAGCCCACATCACGCCCAAGCAGAGGCTTCAGCTTCCCATCACAGGATGCTCAGGGTCTTAGCTCTTCAACCAATCAAAAAGTATTAGAATTAATTTTCACAAATTGTGAGGTCAAGAAGGGATTTTAAACATTGAAAACCTCCCAAACCTCTTTAGTGACTGCCTTTAAAAGCAATTAAGTGCAACTAACAGGGAGATTGTCAACCAGTGGAACTCTTCGCTTCTCTCTTTGTTTGAAAAAGAGCATTATGCAGGTTTCACCACGTCTGTGCATTTCCAAAGTTGTTCTCTAAGAAACACAAATAAGCAGTCTGGAATTAGAGATGGTGGGACAAACGCCTCCCATGCATCCTGAGAAGAACTTCCTCATCTCCAGCAGCAACACCAGTCTCTAGAACAAGCCCCACCCCTCAAAAGAACTCTGTTCCTAAAGTGCCCCCTCTCCCTCTGTGCTGCCCAGGTCCTGCTCATGCGTCAACATTCACCCCGCTGTTCACCGCACACTTGTGGGATGGGCGGGACAGGCCACGGCCCTTCCCATGTGGAGCCCACAGCCCGATGGGGGACAGGCACACAGGGGCCAAACGGGTGTCTTCCACGGTGACGCACCTGGCTCCCTCTGTGATGGCAAGTAAGTCCAGGGAGGGCGTGGGGGGCTACTTGGGGGGGTTGGGGTGGGCCTCACTGGGGGGCAAGGAGGGCAGGGGAACAGCAGCACCCCAGGTGCAGAGGCACTGAGGCGGCAAGGCTGGAGGCCGGTGGGCACAGGGACCCTGTGAGGCAAGGTGCAGGCGAGGCGCCCAAGTACGAGGCGGCTGAGGACGTGGAGACGGCTGTGGCTTTGACTCCGAGATGCACTTGCAGGGCAGGAGAGCGAGCGTTCAGCTGGGTGGAGCACAGGCCATAGCACAGCCCGTGAGAGCAGGTGTTGGTGGGATGGAGGGGGAGCCGCGGGGGTGGTGAGAAGCCACCAGATTCTTGACAGACTGAAAAGTCAAGCTGACCTGCAGTCTGAATGATGCGAGATGAGGGGAGCAGGAGTCCGGGGCACTGGAAGGTTCCTGGCCTGACAAGTACAGCTGCCTCACCTGAGACAGAAGACAGAGATCAGGAGTTCTGTCCACGGAATGACTCAGCCACAAGCCCATGCTCTTCAACAAGAGACGCCGCCGCAGTGAGAAACCTGCTCGCCACAACTAGAGAAAGCCCACGCAAATCAACAAAGACCCAGCTCAGCCAAAAATAAACAAAAACTTGAAAAAAAATTGTATATGCAACTAATTGGTACTTAGAGTAATATATGGTCTTAAATGCTTATGTTAAAAATGAAGAAAGTTCCATTCCAAAATTCATTATCTAATTTTCCAGCTTAAAAAGTTAGAAAAGCACAAATCAAACTAGAAGAAGGGGGAGGAAGAAGAAGAGGAGTGGAAGGGGGAGAAGGAGGAGGAGGAGGAAGAGAAGGCAGGAAATAATGAATAGAAAAAAGTCAATGAAACCAAAAGGTATTTTTTTAAAAGATAAATAAAATTGATAAACATGTAGCTAGACTGATGAAGACAAGACGACAGACATTCATTACCAAAGTCAGGAATGAAAGATGGTTCATCATAGTGGATCACAGAGACATTAAAAGGATAGTAAGGAAATACTATGAACAATCTATGCCAACAATTTGACACATTGGCTAAAATGGACAAATCCCTTAAAATTACCAAAGTTTATGCAATATTGCTGAATATTGGTAACAGCCCTTTAACTAATATAAAAGTTGAATTTGTTAAAACAGATATATGTGTTTGATAGGCCACGAGGCAGGCTGTTCCAGTTAGCACAGATTTCAAGCCAAATCAGGTATAAGCCCGGAGGACTGCCCCACACCAAAATAAATGAAAAATTCCTCATCACTCAGGCACAAACATACCACCCTTGACCAAATATTACCAAGCTGGATCAATATACAAAACAGATAATACATCATGACCTGGGAAGTTGAGCTTCCTGGGAATGCAGGGTGGTTTAACATTTCTCGGATGGTGACGCGTCTGCCCGCAGTGCAGGAGACCTGGGTTCGATCCCTGGGTCGGGAAGATCCCCTGGAGAAGGAAATGGCAACCCACTCCAGTACTCTTGCCTGGAAAATGCCATGGACAGAGGAGCCTGGTGGGCTACAGTCCATGGGGTCGCAAACAGTCGGACACGACTGAGCGACTTCACTTTCTTTCTTTCTTAACATTTGAAAATTCAATCAGTGTAATTAATCCTCATTAACACGCTAAAATAGAAAAAACAAGACGTCATTTCACTAGACACAGGAAAATCATCTGAGAAAACCACACCCAAGCACTGTAAGAACTCTCAGAAAAGTGGGCAGAGGGGACTTCTCCAACTTGATACAGTGAAGTGAAGTCGCTTAGTCGTGTCCGACTGTTTGCGACCCCATGGACTGTAGCCCACCAGGCTCCTCTGTCCATGGCATTTTCCAGGCAAAGAGTACTGGAGTGGGTTGCCATTTCCTTCTCCAGGGCATCTTCCCGACCCAGGGATCGAACCCGTGTCTCCCGCATTGCAGGCAGACGCTTTACCGAGCCACAGGAACATTTGCCAAAGCTACACCTAACAACACCGAGCAGCCAAACGTTCAGCCGGGGGCCGCCCAGAAGGAGGCAAGCACACCTACCCAGCTTGCCTGCACGGAGTCCGGCCAACCTGCTCCAGGTCCCGCCCACCAGCTCAGGCGTGACGTCACTCCCACAGGCCGCACTAACGGTCGCAACCGCCCACCACTCGCGGCTAAGTCTCCGCGTGCGGCACACCCATTGGCTGAGCTGCACCGGCTGGGCGCAGGCGCCGCAACCCTATTGGCCAAGCTCCAGGGCGCGCTGGCGCGAGCGCGGCACCCCATTGGCGGCACGAGCGGCGTGCCGCGTGCGGGCTCCTCAGGCTGCGGCGCTGAGGCTGGGCGCTCAGGCCATGCTGCGCCTCGCGGCCAAGGTGGTTTCCTTCTTCTGGAGGAAGGCGGACTGCCCAGAGGAGGAGGCCGGGCCTCTGGGGCCCGAGCTCGTGGAAGGTGCCTCGCGGGGAGGGCGGGCCGCGCGGCCCCTGAGGCGGCCCGGCCTCACTGGACACTGCCGGGGCGGGGGCGGCTGGTGACCTAGTAGCAGCCCCCGAGGCTTGCGAAGCCTGGTTCCCGCGCCTGCACTGAGGGTGGGGGTGGGGAGTGGCCCGAGCCGGGTCCCAGGGCGTTGGCTTGACCAGACCAGGGTCTGAGAGGCCCCGGCGTCACCTTTATATTGTCTTCTCCCTTGAAGCTGAGGCGTGTCTCTTTCATGGCGATCTCTTCCCAGCGTAGGATCTGTGTCTCCTGGCTTAGTTTTTTCGCGCGCTGCGAGCGCCCTGACACCAGTCCCTCTGGACAGGTTCCCGTTCTTTCTCTGTCCGTGCCCCAGCAGTTGGGTGCGTCGACGGCTCTGGAAAGGGTGACCCCGGCTGTCCTAAACTGTCCTTTTAGTCCCGTGGGGTCTTGCTCTTCTTGAAATTGTTTTTGAACCGAGTTCCTGAAGTCCAGGCACTTGTGATTCTGGCACCCGGAATTACACATTCCCCAAGGTTCTTGGCATTTTCTCCCAACCCCTCCTTCTGTCCGAGACTTGAGCGCTGGGTAGTGAGTCTCTAGTTGCTTTCTGTAACCTCCAGAACCAGGAAATTCTTCGCTAGAGAAGCCAGAACGTCAGTCATGGAACTACTTGTCGCAACGTGCTATTAGCCGTCCGTTGCCGGCATTCTGGCCTCTTCAGCAAACTGCGGCCTGGAGCAGGTCACTTCACCCATCCAGGCCTTGTCTGTCAGTGCAGCCCCTCAAGCAGCAATAGGATTACAGCTCGGCCTCAGTGGGCTTCCAGCCGGGCCGGGGGACACGCGGGTGTCTTCTGGGTCTGAGAAGGAGCAGGAGTTGTAGGCCCAGGTCTCTGAGTGGATGAGGGCAGGCCAGCTCTGCCCCAGACTTGCCCCCCAGGCCCAGAATTTTCCAGTAGTGCTGGCCTAGGATTGAGTGCTCAGTTGTGTCCCACTCTTTGCGACCCAGTGGACTATAGCCCACAGGCTCCTCTGTCCATGGGATTCTCCAGGCAAGAATACTAGAGTGGCTTGCCATTTCCTGCTCCAGGGGATGTTCCTGAGAAGGAATTGAACCTGGGTCTCGGGCATTGCTGATAGTTTCTTCTACCATTGGGCCATCTAGGAAGCCATTCCTGGTATGATGAAATAATACTGAATCTCCTACCCCTGCTGCTGGTAGTATTGGTGATGACAAAGACAGTAGTGGTGATGAGAGTGCGCAGTAGTGACTCCCCCACTGCTGCTCTAAAGCAGCCCCCAGCCTTTGCCAGCCACGCAGAGGTCTGTGCTTTGCACATTCTGTTGTGTGATAACCTTCACACAGCTCTCTTGGACTGTAACTGTCTCCATTTTACAGATGAGGACAGGCACAGACCTAGCCCAGGGTTCCCCAGATGGCAGGGCAAGAGCTGGGCATCAAACCCAGGCAGCATAGCTCCAGAGCCAGAGCTCTCCCCATGGTGCCTACCGCCTGTGCCCCTTGGAGTAACCTGGGAGGTCTGCCTCCAAAACCCCACTTTCTGAGCACTCTGCTCTCCAGGGAGGTTCTCAGCCACAAGGATGCTCTGAGCTCCACTGTTCTCTGGGAGGCTCAACTGTAGTGTGCACTTGCTTTGCGGTCAATGTAACCTTTCTGTTTACCTGTCTCAGGTGACACCAGGTTGAAAACTGTCCAGGGTGTTGTGACAAGATACTGCAGTGATTATGGCATGATTGATGATTTGATCTACTTCTCCAATGAGGCTGTGACTAGCAAAGTGCTTCTAAATGTCGGACAGGAAGTTATTGCAGTTGTGGAAGAAAATAAGGTGTCAAATGGACTGAAAGCAATCCGGGTAAGACCTGAGTTGTTGAGGAAGAATTTTCTCCGCCTTGAGCTTTGCACCACCATCCTCCTCTGAGACGACCTGCAGTTTTGTGCCGTGGAGGGGATCAGTGTTACCACTTCATCATCTATTCTTTTAGTCGTTTAAACCTACTGTTACAGATGACAGCGGTGTGGACCCTTTGTTATCCAGTTAGCAAAGATACTTAATGAACTCTACTATGCAGCAAATTTTTCTTTAAAAAAAATAGTATTATTACACTCTAATTTCCTGATGTTAGTTAGAGGGTATGCATGTTTAACATTTTAATGTTATCATCCTTCAAGAACTTTGTGCTAATTATACTCAGGAGCAGGATGAGAGACTTGTCACCTGTGTTGGCAAGGGTGCGGACTTAGGCATCTTTGAAATCTTCACCAGTCACTTTGATAAATGATCTTATTGTTTTAATTTGCATTTAAGCCTTAAAATAGACTATATTCACATTTTTTTTCCTGTGAGTTATTTTAGTGTCCTTTATACATTTTGTTTGTTGGATTCAGCTATTTAAAATTAAACTTTCTACATTACGGGGTTAAGTTTCATTCCATGTAGTTAATGGGTCTGTCTGTTTTTTGTGGCTCTGGGGCTTTGTATGAATCCTTAGAGAGGCTTTTCATACTTCTCAGTATAGACATGCACCCAGGTTTTCGTCTGAAAAATTGTTTATTGACATTTAAATGTTTAATTCCCCTGGAACTCATTGGCTGTGTGGACTGAAAGAAGGAACCAGACGTTTCTTTCCTGGTAGCTCGCCAGTCGTCTGCTGAGTGGTCCAGTCTTTCCTACTGAGTTGGAAGGCCCCGGGACCCCACCTGCCTGGGGCCCTGTCTGGACCCTGTCGGCCCTAGCGCCTTCACTTGGCCCCCGTGGCACAGTCACACACTTGGGTGGCAGGTCGCTTCCCCTCTTCCTGTCTGTGGAGGGGCTTCTCCGGGCTCCCCTCTGGTTCTGGGTGGACGTTAGAGCCATCCTGCTGTTTCTCCTGCTTGGCCCAGACTCACCTGGACCAGCATGGAGTACATGGGTCCACTGAGGCCAAGCGACGGGGTCAGGGCGAGTTTCACCAGCTACAGATTGGGGCCACTTATTCAAGCCTTCCTTTGCGGTCTTTTTGTTCACTATGTTCTGCAGATTCCTTCTCAAGTTTACTTTTGAGAATTGTATTGATTTTATTTCCATATGAATTTTAGGATGGGCTTTTCTGTTTCTTCAAAAACCATCATTGGGAAAAAAAAACAACTGTCATTGGGATTTTGACCAAGATTACATTGACTCCATCGATCACTTTGGGCAGTATTGATGTCTTGTCAATCCGTGGACGTGGGGTGTGTTTCCACGTACTTGTGTCTTCTCTAACTTCTTTCCTGGTGAGGGCTTCCCTGGTGGCTCAGATGTTAAAGAGTCCGCCTGCAGTTCGGGAGACCTGAGTCCGATCCCTCGGTCGGGAAGATATCCGGAGAAGGAAATGGCCACCTACTCCAGTATTCTTGCCTGGGAAATCCCATAGATGGAGGAGCCTGGCGGGCTCCAGTCCATGGGGTCGCAAAGAGTCGAACATGACTGAGTAACACTTCAACTTCTTTCAGTCACATTTGTAGTTTCGGTGTATAAGTCTTTCACCTTTTGGGTTAAATTTATTCTTACGTATTTGATTCTTTTTTGATGCTATCATAAACGGAATTGTTTTCTCAGTTTTTTTGGATCATTTATTACAGGTAAATAGAAATATAGCTGATTTTTGTATGTTGATTTTTGTATCCGATAACTTTGCTGAATTTGTTTATTGGCTCTAAGAGGTGTTTTGTAGATTCTTTAGCATTTTCTGGATGTAAAATCTCTCTCAGTAATGTTTGACTTTTTGCAACCCTGTGGACAGTAGCCCGCCAGGCTTCTTTTCCATGGAATTCTCCAGGCAAGAATCCTGGAATGGGTAGCCCCATTCCCTTATCTAGAGGATATTCCTGACCCCAAGGATCAAACCCAGGTCTCCTGCATTGCAGGCAGATTCTTTACCATCTTAAGTCTTCAGGGAAGCCCATGTTAGATCATTTGTTGTTGTTCAGTCCCTCAGTTGTCTTCAACTCTTTGCAATCCCATGGACTACAGCATGCCAGGCTTCCCTGTCCTTCATCTCCCAGAACTTGCTCAAACTCATGTCCATTGAGTCGGTAATGCCGTCCAACCGTCTCATCCTCTGTCGTCCCCTTCTCCTCCATTCAATCTTTCCCAGCATCAAGGTCTTTTCCAATGAGTCAGCTCTTCTGATATCAACTTCAAATAGATAGTTTTACTTCTTCCTTTCCAATCTGGACATTAAAATTTCTTCTTCTTGGCTAGTTGCTTTGGCTGGGACTTTCAGTATTCTGTTGAACAGAAATGGTGAAAGCGCGCATCCTTGCCTTTTTCCTTATCCTGGGGAAAAGCTTTCAGCCTCTCACCACTGAGTGTCATGGGAGCATTGGGTCATATGTGGTCTTTATAGTACTGAGGAAGTTCCAGTGTCTTCCTAATTAATTGAGTATTTTTATCTTAAAAAAAGGTGTTGGGTTTTATCAGATGCCTTTTCTGCACCAACTGAGATAACTATATAATTTTTCATTTGTTCTGCCAGATTGCTGGATGGTGGTGACTGGTTTGCATTTGTTGAGCCATGTCTGTGTTCTGGGAGGAACCCCTCTCCATCATGATGTGCAGCCCCTCACCATGCAGCTGCATTTGGTTTGCCTCTGTTTCGTTGGGATTTTTGCCTCAGTGTTCATAGGGGGTCTTGGCCAGTATTTGGCTTTCTTTGTGGTCCTCGGCATGTGCTAAGTGGTGGTTTGTCTGTCTTGCAGGTGGAAGCTGTCTCGGATAAATGGGACGATGACAGCAAGAGCCACAGTGGGGGGCTCTCGGACTCCAGCCCCCGGGTGCTGATCGGCTGCGTGACCTCGCTGATGGACCGCGCGGGCTACATCAGCCAGACCACGTACTTCTCCCTGGAGAGTGTGTGTGAAGGTGTGCTGGGCAGGTCTCTGCTTCACATTTACAATCAGTTTTTGTGGTTTTTAAAAAATGTTCATGGATAGAGTTGAGGTGACTGCTCGCATCACTGAAAGGGCCACGTCTGGGTTCCCTCTGGGAGAAGGCTTGTGGTGGGAGCAGCCGCAAGCTCAGGCTCAGGCTCAGGCTCTGGCGCCACAGTGCCCCTCATCTGTGGTGTTTGTCGTGCAGTTGCCAACTCCTAGGTAGCTGTTCCTTTTCCATAATTGTTGCTCCTGACCTAAGACAACAATGTCATAGATGCACAGAGGTACTGTGATTTTTTTTTTTTAGTTGTGTCCGGTGTTTTAAAATAGGACTTGGGGATAACCTGGTACTTTTCCGAGAGTACATTTTTAATTGCATCTGGTTTTAGCTGATATTCCTAGATGGCACAGTGATAAAGAGTCCAGTTTCCAATATAGGAGACACAAGAGACCCGGGTTTGGTCCCTGGGTTGGGAAGATCCCCTGGAGGAGAAACTGGCAACCCACTCTAATATTCTAGCCTGGAAAATCCCATGGACAGAGGAACCTGGCAGGCTGCAGTTCATGGAGTCGGCAAAGAGTCAGACTCAGCTGAAGGACTGAGCACACACACATTAGCTGACCTAAGATTCTGTTTTTAAGCTTAAAGAAATAATTTGTCAGCATCATTTGTTGAAAAACTATTTATTGTGTGCCTGCCGTCCTGGTGGGTAGGGAGCAAGGCAGGAGGAGACCCAGATGAGGGAGCCCTTGCTGTCCCTCCTGAGGAGAAATAGCCCTATACATGCTTTATCCTCAGGCAGGACTCAGAGGAGCTTGGTGGGGGGAGGCCCGTGATCTGGACACCCTGCTGGGCTGTGTAGTCGAGGGGCCCTGTCCCCTGTCTGGATGACCCTTCAGTGATTGATGTGTCCAGTCCAGGGACCAGTTTTCATCTCCCAGCATCCCTGAGGTCCTCAGAGTGTTGCCCTGAAAGCCTCGACCCAGCACCTGGTTCCTGCTTCCTGGGGCTTATCCCAGACCTCTGTCTGACCTGCGACCCACCTCAAGGCTGGACCCCTTTACCCAGATCTCCCCCTTCTCTGACCCTAGGCCTGCCCTGTGTGGACCACAGCCTTGCCCTCTGCCTTCTGGTTGGGATTAATCTGGGGGGAGCACCAGCAGATTGAGGATGTGGGGAGTGAGATTGGGCTCAGCACCCCCACCCTGTGGCCTGCCTGTGGCTTCGCTCCTCTCCTGTGACCATAACAGGGCACCAGGCAAGTGAGTGGCCAAGCCGGCACACAGTGGAGAAGTGAAAGGGAGATTCAAATTGGTTAAGATTAAATCATTTTTAAATGTGAGTGTGTGTGTGTATATATATATATCAATTAGCACATTTATTTTATTATATTGGTGGGCCTTTACTGATATTCAAAAACTATTTGCAGTGTTAAAATTCCTTCTAAAAAAAAAGAAAAATTATACCTGGGTACATTAAAGAATAGAAAAGCAATTTAATCTTGATTGTGTAGCCATTATATTCTTTTTTTTTTTTTTAAGCCATTATATTCTTTGTGTGTCTTAACATCTTTTCATTTCTTAGCAGCCCTAATACCATGTCACTGGTATTGTTCTGAGGAACGTACATTTTTCAGTGTTATCTTAGCTTCATTTTTTCATACAGTGGCCTGGAGTCTTCCTCAAAGCTGCATTTTATGGTCGATGAGCTTGAAATTGTAGGTACCTTTGATGGGCTCTCCCTGTAGGCTTTTGTATGCTCAGTCGCTAAGTCATGTTCAATTCTTTGCGACCCCCATGGAGTGTAGCCCACTAGGCTCCTCTGTCCATGTGATTTCCCAGGCTAGAATGCTGGAGTGGGTTGCCATTCCCTTCTACTGGGATCTTCCCAGATTAGGGATTGAACCCTCATCTCCTGCATTGCAGGTGAATTCTTTACCACTGAGCCACCTTTTAAGTAAGGAAATACTAGTAAGCTCAAAGCAGATTCTGCTGAATGTGAGTTATTAACAAGTCTGGGTTTTTTCCTACTGAAATATCCAACTTTTTTAGCCCAGGTGTTTCACAAGTATTGGTTTTTACCTCTGTAAGTATAGAGGTATTCAAATATTTTCATGAACTGAAATCTATCAAATAAGTCATCTCTGTGATTTTTTTTAATCTTACACCAAATTTGGAAGCTGTAGACTTGTTGTAGGCCTTGATGGTTTTAACTTACTCATTGCTGAATATCAGTTTATCCAACTAAAAGTGAGGGCTTGATTGAACGGCTCCTCACACAGGTGGTGGGCGTCATGGCCAGGTGCTCAGCTCTGCGCTGAATCAACACATGGGGCCTCGCTGCTTCAGGTTCTCTGTGCTTTTATGGGAGTGAGTGTCACCATGTTGTGTTTACAGGCTGTATTCCCAATAACTGCAGTTCACAAGTCTTAGAACTGAAGATTTTTTTTCTTTTGTTCCATCTCCCGCTCAACCCCCACCCTTCCCACCCCCACCCCGCCATGCCGCACAGCTTGTGGGGTCTTGTTTCACAACCAGTGAGAGCGCCGAGTCCTCACCACTGGACCGTCTGGGGATTCCATACAGCTGAAGATGTCTTGCTTCCACATGTACTGAGTACTTTAATTAAAAATTGCCAACTGATTTTGAACAAAGTATAACCCAAATTTAGAGCCCTCACCTGAAAAAAGTAGAAGGAGCACCATTGAAGGGTTGATTTACAAAGCACTTCTTCAGAGGTTCAACCATTTGTAAAATTCAGGCTGCGGGGCAGCCAAGAGGACCAGGCCCCCAGGCTCCACGATCTGTTTGTTTTAACACTGGCTTTGCCACGGGGCTCTGAGGCTGAGCTGCCTCCGTCAGCCTCCATGGCTGCACCCTGTCCGCCCACTCACTGCCCGGCACAGTGCGGGGGAAGACCTGGGCCTGGGCGCGCGGTGGTCCCTGTGTGTTGCTGCCCCACAGGCGGCTCAGTGCACAGGGGCCTTGTTCTGTTACAGCTCCATCAAAACGTGCACCTAACGTGTGTTATCATGGTGAAAGCAAACTGAATTACAGTAGCTTTCACAATAACATCAGATATATCTCCTTCAATAGAATAGTCTTCCAAAATCTTTACTTTGACTCCATGATTCTGGTGGGGGAAAAAATGAACTAGTTTTTTATTTGCCTCACTGTTTTTCTCTTTAAAATAACTTTTATACAGCTAACAGTAATAGCTATTGCTTCACTTCTCATGTATGTTGGAAGATACAGAATTAAAAATTAGCAAAATTATGTCAGTTATTTGATAAATTAAGGCATGGCTTGCAAACCAACAAGTAAAGATTTCTCAGTGGTGTGTTGACTTGTGCTTCTGGGCATCATCCTCCTAAAAAACTCCCCGACCTGGAAGCTGGCGCCCAGGAGCTGTGTCTCCCGTGGGTTTGTGCTGCCGTGCCATGCTGGGTGGCCCCTGTGCTGAGAAGCAGTGTCTGTAGGCGTTTGGGCTGCTCTGTGCTTATCATCAGCTTTCTTGAGAAACAAACTCAGTATTTTATTAGGCACTGTTGTCTTCTCAGCTCAGTAAAAATGTTTATTACAAAACATTTGTAATAAACCAAATGGTTATCAGCAGGTGTAGCCCACCACGAGCCACAGCAGCTCAGCAGCTGCCTCACGTGCCTGCTCCTGTAAGCCCCCTCTCTGCCCACCCCGCCAGCTCCCAGGAGCACCAAGGGGGTCCGACGCGGCCGCCAGGCCTCGGGCGTGAGTGTGCCTCCCCGTGTCGCCATGCACACACGTGTCCCTGACGAGGAGGATGGGCGGGCGCTCCTAGTGTCTGCCGGAGCTGGCAGAGGAGCGCCGTGACCACCCACGCCTCCTGGAGCTCACCTTAGCGCGGCTGTCAACCACAGTGCCTGGTCACATGTTACATGTATGCTATATATGCACATGTGTAAAATTGCTATATATGTGTAACATAATACATATGCCTGTGTATTATATAGCATATAATTGTGTATTACATATGATCACATACAGTATATATAGTTGTATAATTAACATACGTAATATATACCTTATATATTATATATATATATGTAATAACCATGCTGTGAAAGGTAACTTCAGAGTCTCTTATACACTTTAATGTTTCAATGTCACCAAGTAACTTGCCTGGTTTCCCTGCCTTGGAGGTTTCAAGCCCTGCAAGGGAGACTGGGTGGAGGCTGAGTACTGGATCCGGCCAGGCACATGGAGCAGCGAGGCCATCTCGGTGAAGCCGCTGAGATACAAGCGCGTGGACCGGGTAGGTACCAGGCCTCGAGTGTCTGTGGGTCCTGGGTGCACCAAGAGGTCAGGTTAAGTGAGAGTCAGAGAAGACCCTGACTTCTTACCAAGATGACTGGAGGCCGGCCTGCATGCAGGCGTACTTAAATTCTAGGTCACAGGGGTACTCAGTGTAAAGTGTCTGATGGTGCGACACAGAGAGCGGGTGTGGGCTCTGCCCGTGCTCCTCGCAGAGCTGTGGTCTGGGGAGTCGGGGCTGGAGCACAGGAGGGAATCGAGTTCGCGAGTGGAGGTGGAGCCTGCCCTGGGCTGCTCGGCTCCGGGCTTCTGCCTGGCCTGGGCCGTCTAGGGCGTTGCTTCTCACCGGCGACCAGGCCCGCGCCTCGCTGGCCACAGCAGTCCCACCCTCCAGGCGCTGGTTTCCGCCTCGCTGTGCATGTGCTGCCAGCCCCAGTGTTCTGCTTGCAGGTCTGCGTGTCCAGCCTTTGTGGGAGGAATGGGGTGATCGATGACTGCATCTTCTTCACCTTGGACTCCCTGAAGCTTCCGGAAGGCTACCTGCCCCGCAGGCACGACGTGGTCAGCGCGGTGGTGGTGGAGAGCAGCCAGTCCTGCTACCTGTGGAGGGCACTGTGCATGACTCCGGTGCAAAGGTGGCGAGGGGCGGGGGTGGGCCCAGGGTGCGTCTCAGGGTGGGCTCAGCAAAACAAGATCCCTGAGCCAGCGGGGCTGGAGGGAGACCTCCTGGGTGCTGAGGGGTCTTCATGGTTGACTGAAGGCTGAGTGAAAAATGGCCCCTTGAGCCTGACCTCACGCTGATGATCTTCATGTTTTCTTGGGTTTTGTGAGTTGTACTCTTTCACACACTGGTGTTTTGCAGAACGTGTTACACATGGCAGATTTTTAGAGTTACTGAATTTGCTGTATCCGTATTCTTCTCTCTGTGTCCCAGTGACCTCCACCTCTGACACCTGTTTATGAGCACTGCAGGCATTCCTGAGCTCGGGTTTGAGCAGCAGCACTGCCCTGCGTCCTGCCTGCCTCTGCTCTCTCTCCCTAGTGCTCAGTTAGGGCGCTCGCACACGGCTTCCTCAGCAGTCCTGTTTGTCCTGTGGTCCCACAGGAGCAGGTCACATGTGGGAGGAGGGTCTGTGAGTCTCAGGTCAGGGAGCCTGTCTCAGGAGAAGTGGGCTACCGGCCTGGCCATGAAGCTGTGCTGCGGATGAGGTGTGGGCAGAGCAGGGGACATGCAGGCAGCCCTGCCGCATCCAGACCACCTGGTGGGCATGTGCTCCTGCCCCGTGGGGCTTGCTCCCCTTTTGGAGAATGACTCGGCCCATCTGTGGAGCAGTGAAGTGTGTGAGACACATTGCGCTCGCCCCTACCAGCAGACAGGCTGAGGAGTTCTGGCTTCAGCCTCTTTGATGGGCCCAGGGGTGTGAGGACCACCCTGCCACGTGATCGTGCTGGCCGCCAGCTGCCTGGAGCAGAAGCCGGGGCCCTGCCCACATGGGTGTCATGGTTGCTCAGAACCTCATGCCGCTCTCAGGAGACCACAGGTCGTTGAGACACATGATTCCATGACCATCCTCTTTATGCCGCAGTTAACTGGGTTCCTATTGGCTGTGGGCATGGGTGGACCGTGGCGGGGGGGCCGGGAGTGGCCCAGATGAGCATCCAGGAGAAAGAGCTGCCAGCACACCCTCAGGGCCAGTGCGTCCATCAGAAGGACTCTGGGTCCCTACTGCTCCACCTGTCTACCTCTCCGCCCACTTCCCTTACCCTGCCCTGCAGCTCTCTGTCTCCAGAGGACTCAACGTCTGCTGAATGGAGTGGGTGGGGGCGTGGGCAGGGGCTCCCTGGCTGTGGGTGGCAAGCTTCAGGTAAGCTTCTTTTGGGCCCCGGCTGCAGTGGCCTCTGCTCCATCCAGGGAGGGTACCTGGTCCCGGGCGTGTGATGACAGGCATGTCCCCTGCGGCTGGAGCGGCTGTCCTCACAGGGAGCCCACAGCCCAGCAAGTGCTCCCCGAGCACTGTGCCCTGTGCCGCTGCCCTGACCCTGTCTCCTCCTGAGCTGGTCCCGCCTTCAGGCTTTAGCCCCAAGTCGAGGATGCTGCCCTGCCCTCAGACCCACTGTCCTCTGCCCACTCAAGGGTCCAAAGGCCAGCAGCAGTGCTGTGTGTGCAGCAGGGCCTGTGCTCCTCCAGGCCCAGCCTGTGGTGGTGTCCCAGGCCCGCCCCCCAGCTCTGGGTGGGTTGAGCCCGTTAGCCAGTTCTCGGCCCCTGGGTGGTGGGCCTGCTGTAGGACAGATGACCACTGCCACAGCACGCTGGGCTGGGGGAGGCTCGGCAGAGCTGCTGTGTGGCCAAGGCAAAGAAGACAGGACGGGGTGTGTGACTGAAACGGGTCTGAGGGGGTGGGCAGGCTGAGGTCGAGGATGTCACTGGTGTGTGGACAGGGACAGTTGTGAAGGAGCCCATTTGTGAGTGGCATGGGGTGGGTCAGGGATGGGAAGGAGCTGCGAATAAGTGGTGGACGCAGCACCTGCAGTTCACAGCTGTGTCAGCAGAGGGGACGAACGGTCCTTCCTCAGGGGAGGGCGGCATCTGCCCATTTTCTAAAGATAAAAATTCTCCTTTAGTTTCAGATACTCTGAAGCCAGACTCTTTTTCCCAATGAAATGGGTCCCTGACAAGCCAAGTGCCTCCCTCCAGCCGAGGGGAGGGTCTGAGGAGGAGCACTGAATGCTCTTCCCGCTGGGTGCAGTGGGCTTGGGTCCCTGAGCCACTCTGGCAGAGGCAGCCTGCTCTCAGACCCTCGGTATCACTGCTGGTCCTCCTCTCCTCTGGAGTCAGCAGGCTTGTGGTTTCTTCATGAGGGTGACCTGCTGTCCTGCCCAGAAGTCCTCAGGGTGTCCTTCCACGTCTCCTCTGGAGCTTGGCTCCATGCCCCGTCCCCTGCGGTTGGTGCCACCTGGCGGGGCGGGGCGTCCAGACACCCCTGCCCGCTGACCTGACAGCGTCCTGTGGTGCTTTCTCCAGGGACTTCTCTCCCGCCACGGGGACTGCCGAAGAGGCCTGTGGAGCCCTTTTGCTCAAAAACAAAGGTGACATTGAAGTCACAAGGATGACAAATTTTGGAACTCTGAAAGAAGGAGAAAGCAAAAATATGGTGATCTGGATAGAGTAAGTTTGCCACTTAAATAGAATTACACAGTTGGGTTTTAAGCTGTGATTGAAGAATTTCTGTAGAGTGAACTTTACTTTGCCTGTTTCTTTTTCGTTTTATGTCTGTCTTTCTAGATTTTTCGCTCTGAAGTAGCCTTTTCACTTAATTAGAAGTCTTTTCAATTGTCATTCTCTTGTTAGATTGAATTCTGTTTTATGGTAATAGTGTTTTACTTTAAAAATCCTGTCGCTGTTCACAGCTAATTTTCCTTTTCCAGGAATAAAGGAGATGCTCCTCAAAACTTAGTCAGCTGCAAGCTGGGCGGCTGGGATAAAGCTCAACAGTTCCGATTTCACATGCTGGACAAGAGCCAACTGTGCCCTGAAGTGTCTCCTGTTTGTGTTCCTCAGGAGGAGAAGGCTTCTGCAGATGAAGACATTAACTCGCTGGACAGCTGCGGGGGAAGCACAGCCGGGCAGCCCCTGGGGAGCAGCTGGGTGCAGAGCAGAGGAGTCCCCTCAGGTGGCCGTCCCCGGGTGCCACCGGGCCGCCCGCGCGGGCCCCTCGGGCCGGGGGCTGGCGGGGGCGGTGGCTACACTGCTGGCGCTGCGTCTGGGCCCGACTCTGGTAACAGGGCTGGCAGCTGGAGACTGCCCAGTGTGCTGCAGACAGGCCACTTCCTCTGAACGGTTCTAAACTGGGGAGAGGCTGCCTGTGCACCTTTGCCTGTTGTCACTGTGTGACACCACTGCTGTCAGAACAGCTCACCTTTGGTCTAATGTTGGATTTAAATTTCATCTCCCAGGTGACTCTGCCTGTAATGGAGAAACTGGACTAAAGCAGGAGAACACACCACAGAAGCAGGTGACAGAGCCCGAACCCGCTGGGCTCATCCCTCCAGGGGGAGAAACTCGGATCGTGATCACCTGTGATGCGAAGTACGTGGCTGAAGGGTGTGGAAGGAGTTGACCTTAGGGACGTGTGCACGTGTCTGGTTCTGTTTCACGTGTGGTCCTTCTGGGTTGGATGTTGTGAAAAGGATCGGTGGTTATTTTGGTGGGACAGAATCACAAGGAAAAGCACTGGAGAAAAGTGGTCCAGTCCAGGGGGTGAGTCAGGGTGCCCACCAAGGGGCTTAGACTGGCGGAGGACATGAGCCCCCTCAGCCCTGGAAGCCAGTGCCCCAGCCTCCTGCTGCTGCTCCCCGAGCCTGCCTTCAGCGTGCCCTGGGCCCTTCCTGCCCCGCCCCTTCCCCCCTCGCAAGCTGACAGACGGCGGCTCCTGAGCCCTTGCAGGCCCTTCCCTCTTCTGCCTCCGTCCCTATGTCCGGAGCCCTGGGCTCTGACTCCCAGTAAGCTCAGAGCTTGGGTGCAGCCCTTCTTCCCTCTCTCATCTCATCTGCACCTGCTGGCTCTACATTGGTCCAAGGGTGGCTCTGATTAGACGAGCGCCTCGCTTCAGGCCAGGGGTGACCCTGCGCACAGAGGGCAGTCCTCGCGTGAGCACTCAGTGCTGGTGGCGGTGTGATGTGGCCTAGCCTCGAGCAGCAGGGGGAGGGGGGCCGCAGGCAGAGGGAGACGGCGTCTTGTGCAGCACAGCTCTGATCAAACGGGAACACTGGACGTGTGTTTCCTATTCTTAAGTCTGAGAGTTACAGACAATACTATTTTAGGTTTGTGATTTTATCTTACACTGTTCATGGGGTTCTCAAGGCAAGAATACTGAAGTGGTTTGCCATCATTCCCTTCTCCAATAGATCACATTCCGTCAGACCTGTCCACCATGACCCCTCTGTCTTGGGTGGCCCCACACGGCATGGCTTAGTTTCACTGAATTAGACAAGGCTGTGATCTGTGTGATCAGATTGGCTAGTTTTCTGTGACTGTGGTTTCAGTCTCTCTGCCCTCTGATGCCCTCTCTCAGCACCTACTGTCTTACTTGGGATTCTCTTACCTTGGATGTGGGGTAGCTCCTCTTGGCCGCACTTCTGCGCTGTTGCAGCCATCGCACTCCAAGAGTGAACATGAGTGAACATTGACATTCTAGGAATCAGCAAGCTAAGATGGACTGGAATGGGTTATATCTACTACTGTGGGCAGGAATCCCTTAGAAGAAATGGAGTAGCCATCATAGTCAACAAGAGAGTCTGAAATGCAGTACTTGGATGCAATCTCAAAAACCACAGAATGATCTCTGTTCATTTCCAAGGCAAACCATTCAATATCACGGTAATCCAAGCCTATGCTCCGACCTGTAATGCTGAAGAAGCTGAAGTTGAATGGTGCTATGAAGACCTACAAGACCTTTTAGAACTAACACCCCAGAAAGATGTCCTTTTCATTATAGGGGACTGGAATGCAGAAGTAGGAAGTTAAGAAACACCTGGAATAACAGGCAAATTTGGCCTTGGAGTACAGAATGAAGCAGGGCAAAGGCTTAATAGAGTTCTGCCAAGAGAACGCACTGGTCATAGCAAACACCCTCTTCCAACAACACAAGAGAAGACTCTACACATGGACATCCCCAGATGGTCAACACCGAAATCAGATTGATTATATTCTTTGCAGCCAAAGATGGAGAAGCTCTATACAGTCAGCAAAAACAAGACCAGGAGCTGACTGTGGCTCAGTTCATGAACTCCTTATTGCCAAATACAGACTGAAATTGAAGAAAGTGGAGAAAACCACTAGACCATTCAGGTATGACCTAAATCAAATCCCTACTGACTATACAGTGGAAGTGAGAAATAGATTTAAGGGACTAGATCTGATAGACAAAGTGCCTGATGAACTATGGACGGAGGTTCATGACATTGTACAGGAGACAGGAATCAAGACCATCCCCAAGAAAAAGAAATGCAAAAAAGCAAAATGGCTGTCTGAGGAGGCCTTGCAAATAGCTGTGAAAAGAAGGGAACCGAAAAGCAAAGGAGAAAAGGAAAGATATTCCCATTTGAATGCAGAGTTCCAAAGAATAGCAAGGAGAGATAAGAAAGGTTTCCTCAGAGATCAATGCAAAGAAATAGAGGAAAACAATCAAATGAGAAAGACTAGAGATCTCTTCGAGAAAATTAGAGATACCAAGGGAACAGTTCATGCAAAGATGGGCTCAATAAAGGACAGAGATGGTAGGGACCTAACAGAAGCAGAAGATACTAAGAAGAGGTGACAAGAATACACAAAAGAACTGTACAAAAATCTTCACGACCCAGATAATCATGATGGTGTGATCACTCACCTAGAGCCAGACATCCTGGAATGCGAAGTCAAGTGGGCCTTAGGAAGCATCACTACAAACAAAGCTAGTGGAGGTGATGGAATTCCAGTTGAGCTATTTCAAATCCTGAAAGATGATGCTGTGAAAGTGCTGCACTCAATATGCCAGCAAATCTGGAAAACTCAGCAGTGGCCACAGGACTGGAAAAGGTCAGTTTTCAATCCAATCCCAAAGAAAGGCAATGCCAAAGAATGCTCAAACTACCACACAATTGCACTCAACTCACATGCTAGCAAAGTAATGCTCAAAATTCTCCAAGCCAGGCTTCAGCAGTACGTGAATCGTGAACTTCCAGATGTTCAAGCTGGATTTTGAAAAGACAGAGGAACCAGAGATCAAATTGCCAACCTCCAGTGGATCATCGAAAAAGCAAGAGAGTCCCAGAAAAACATCTAGTTCTGCTTTATTGACTATGCCAAAGCCTTTGACTGTGTGGATCACAATAAACTGTGGAAAAATTCTTAAAGAGATGGGAATACCAGAACACCTGACCTGCCTCTTGAGAAACCTGTATGCAGGTCAGGAAGCAACAGTTAGAATTGGACATGGAACAACAGACTGGTTCCAAATAGGAAAAGGAGTATGTCAAGGCTGTATATTGTCACCCAGCTTATTTAACTTATATGCAGAGTACATCATGAGAAACGCTGGGCTGGAAGAAGCACAAGCTGGAATCAAGATTCCAGGAGAAATATCAGTAACCTCAGATAGGCAGATGACACCACCCTTATGGCAGAAAGTGAAGAAGAACTAAAGAGCCTCTTGATGAAAGTGAAAGAGGAGAGTGAAAAAGTTGGCTTAAAGCTCAACATTCAGAAAATGAAGATCATGGCATCCGGTCCCATCACTTCATGGCAAATAGATGTGGAAACAGTGGCTGACTTTATTTTTCTGGGCTCCAAAATCACTGCAGGTGGTGATTGCAGTCATGAAATTAAAAGATGCTTAGTCCTTGAAAGGAAAGTTATGACCAGCCTAGACAGGATATTGAAAGGCAGAGACATTACTTTGTCAACAAAGGTCCATCTAGTCAAGGCTATGGTTTTTCCAGTGGTCATGTATGGATGTGAGAGTTGGACTATAAAGAAAGCTGAGTGCAGAAGAATTGATGCTTTTGAGCTGTGGCGTTGGAGAAGACTCTTGAGAGTCCCTTGGACTGCAAGGAGATCCAACCAGTCCATCCTGAAGGAGATCAGTCCTGGGTGTTCATTGGAAGGACTGATGTTGAAGCTGAAACTCAAATACTTTGGCCACGTGATGTGAAGAGCTGACTCATTTGAAAAGACCCTGATGTTGGGAAAGATTGAGGGCAGGAGGAGAAGGGGATGGCTGAGGATGAGATGGTTGGGTGGCATCACCGACTCAATGGACATGGGTTTGGGTGGACTCTGGGAGTTGGTGATGGACAGGAAGGTGGGGCATGCTGCGGTTCATGGGGTCGCAGAGTCGGACACGGCTGAGCGACTGAACTGATTTTATCTTGGGAAAATGTTACATTGCTGATTGTAAAACATCCCTTTTTTCCTGTAAAAGAATTATTAAAGGCTAAGGGTGACTGGTTTGCTACCTCTGTGACTTTCCTTGAGTGAAAAGGGAGGTTGTGTTAGATCTGCCTGTCTTAACTTATAACACACACTGAATTGTGTCTTGTTTTTCCAGGAATTCTGGCCGCTGCAGGGAGCTCCTTCTGCTTTGCTTCTCCAATTTCATAATCGGGCGATACCTTGAAGTAAATGTTGTAAGTGAGGAGGAGTCACTGATAGCTGTCCACGAACCCTTTTCATGGAAGAAGTCTAAAAGTTCCCAGGTGTTAGCTTCCACCAAAACCACAGTCGTCGTGACCACACAGAAAAGGTACCATGAGCAGAAATGAAAAAGCAAGCCCTTATCTTGGGCTCGTGATGTGAGGGACACACAAGGTTGCTGTTGTTGAAGGGATGCAGACATCCAGATAAAGGGGTGTAGCTATGGCCCAGCCTCTTACAGCACTGTCCTCGGGGCACACTGTGAGGACCAGGCGGGAGGCCTGCGACCGCAGCTCGTCTCGGGGTGACTCTCAGGGCGGGACAGGACTTGACCCTCACCCTCAGCTCCTGTCGCCTTTCATGTTCCCAGCAGCACAGCCGCCCACCCTCGGAGACAGCCCGTGTCCCACATGGGCACCCATCAGGAAGGGATCAGTGAGACGTGGCTGGCATAGCCTCTTGTGAGCTGTCCACAGCACCCAAGTGTCGCTTATCAAGGGCAGCTTGAGGGTCACTTGGCTGCTTGAAGCCCTTTTGAAGATGTGACACCTTTTAAAAGTGAAATCAAGAAAAAAAAAACCTGTAACCTACCATCTACATGTGGCTGGCAGTTGGGGAACACCCAGACTTTAACTAGGTCATCGTCTGGAGAAAGTGCTTTTTGTCTACCTTTTCTCATCTGCAGTAATAAACCCTAGAAGCTCTAAAAAGCAGATTTTGCTTTTTTAAGTTTGGTGCCAGAAATCATGACCTATAGACTGGTTTCATGACTTAGTCATGTGGGTATGTGGCCTCAGCTGCTGCCCCAAGTCCCTGGGATGATGGGTGCTACTTTTCTGTAATGGGAAACACTGTATTTCTGCTTACACCTTACCTGGGAATAATTGAAGATAAGATACAGACTTCAACTCAGTTGTGGGCTGAAGGAACAACTGTTGGAGTGTTGTGTGTTATCAGCCTTGGGTTGGAGCACTGTTGACTCCCAGCATGCACAGGGAGCCGTGTCGTCCCTGCCCAGTCTCTCAGCCTCTCTTGACCTGCTCTCTCTGTGAAGCGATAGTCCCGCCCCTGCCCTGCCTGTGATCGTAAGGATCTTTCTTTCACCGAGCTGGGTCTTTGTCTTGGTGCACCAGCTCTCGGTTGCTCTACGTGGGCTTTCCTCTCGTTGCTGTGAGTAGGGCTCACAGTATGTCTGAGGGCTCACATTGCAGTGGCTTCTCTTGTTGCAGAACGTGGACCCTAGGGTGCACTGGCTTCAATAGTTGCAGCACGTGGGCTCAGTAGTGGCATGCGGGTTTAGTTGCCCCACAGCATGTGAGATCTTAGTTCTCAGGGCAGGGATCAAACCCGTGTCCCTTGAATTGAAAGGTGGATTCTTAACCACTAGACCATTGGGAAGTTCCAGTTAACGAGGATTAAATGTACAGTTTCTGGCTCTGAGCAGTCAGGAGTAATAAATAAGCAGTAACAGTCACTAGGTGTGTGAACAGTGGTCAGGTTGGGTGGCTCTAGGGATGGAAGCTGAACACAGGAGCAAGAAGTCACATGGTCCGCAAGCAGTGGGTCCCCAGGGCTGGGCTCCAGTTACAGGAGCTTTCTAGAGCTTCCAGCTGTCTTCAGTGATGCTACAAGCAGCTTTCTCATCACAAGTTGACTTAACTGGAGAAGTAAAATAGAGCAGGAGCACACATATTTAATCCCCTGGTCAGCTTTTTCACTTTGAATGTTAATACATTGTTCCTGTTCAGGAGCATCCCTAAAACAAACATCTGTTTCCCACCATCAAAGCAGTGACCCAGACTGCCTGTCCTGATGGCCTGGCTCCTTTGGAACTGCCACCGTCTGCATCTGCCCACCCCATCAGTAGATAGGCTGCTTTAAGCCCTCCAAGACCTAGCCCCAGCCACCAGTGGACAGCAGCCTCCACACAAGGCAGGGCCTGGGAGCAACCAGACCAGGGGCAGCCGCACCCACCACTCACAGCCGTCAGCCCGCTATGACAGACGGACCCACACAGCCCACGTGCAGGGCGCATGCAGCTCTGAAGCCTGTGGCTCTGGCGGTCAGTGGGGAGTGTGCTGCTGGGTGCACAGGGCATCCACAGAAGGCCACTTTTCCAAGGCCAGGAAACGTAGCCACCCCCAGATACTCAGAAATAGAAACAGCAAGCTGGGCAGAGGAGGGCTTCCCTGGTGCTCCAGTGGTTAAGAATTTGCCTGCCAATGCAGGAGACATGGGTTCAATCTCTGGTCTGGGAAGATCCACTTGCCAAGTAGTAATTAAGCCTGTGAGCCATAACTGCTGAGCCTGCATACTGCAATGACTGAAGCCTGCATGCCCCAGAGCCTGTGCTCCTTAACAAGGGAAGCCACTGCAAAGAGAAGCCCTCGGACTGCAGTGGCGAGGAGCCCCCACTCATCACATAGAGAAAGCCTGCATGCCGCAGCAAAGACCCAGTGCAGCCAAAAATAAATAATGTTAGCAAGGTGACAGAGGAATGTGTTCCAAATACAGGAACAGGTAAAACTCCAGAAGAAGAGCTGAGTGATGTGGAGACAAGCCTCCTGCCCAAGAGATTTCAAGGTAATGATTGCAGAGATCAAGCAACTTGAGAGGAGAGTGCATGAACGCAGCGAGAAGTGAGACGTTTTCAACAGAGTTAGAAAATGTAAAGAACCGAACAGATGAAGACTGAAGAAACTGAAATGAAAAATGCACTAGAAGGAATCAGCATTGGATTAGATGATATGGAGGAACGAAACACAAGCTTGGGAGACAGTGGTAGAAATCACTGATGTGGAACAGAAGAAAGAGAAAAGAATAAAAAGAAACGAGGATAGAGTAAGAGAACACTGGGATGGCGTCAAGTGTGTAGACATTCACGTGATAGGGGTGCCCGAGAGAGGAGAGAGAAAGGGGCAGAGAACCCAAGTGAAGGCGTAACAGCTGAAAGCTTCCTAACTTGGAAAAGAAAACAGACATCCAGGCCCAGGAGGCACAGGCAGTCCCAAGCAGGATCAACCCAAAGAGGAGTATAGCAAGGCACGCTGTCGTGAGCCTGGGAGAAGTTAGAGGCGGGGTATCAAAGGCAGCACACTGGGTGCAAGGGAGCGCCTGTAAGACAGTCCGCTGGTTTCTCAGAATCTGCAGGCCAGAAAGGAGTGGCAGGATATATTTAAAGGGATGAAAGGGAAAAAACCAACGCCCAGGAACACAACCCAGCAAGGCTCTCATTCAGATTTGATGGAGAGATCAAAAGCTTTACAGACAAGCAAAAGCTAAAAGGATTCAGCATCACCAAACCAGCCTTATGAGAAACGTTAAAGGGGCTTCAGCAAAAAAGAAAAGGCCACAAATGAAAGTGAAAGTCATGAAAGCACACTCGTAGGAAAGATAAAGACCTATAGTAAAGGTTGTAAAAACAGCCTTGTGTAAAGCTAGTTATAAGGTTAAAAGGCAAAATTAGTAAAATCATATGTGCCCGTAACAAGTAGTTAAGTGACAGTCTCGGTTGCACAGTTGTATCCAACTCTTTGTGACCCTATGCACCGTAGCCCACTGGGCTTCTCTGCCTTGGGAGTCTCCAGGCAAGAACGCTGGAGTGGGTTGCCATACCCTTCTCCAGGGGATCTTCCTGACCCAGGGACTGAACCCATGTCTCTATGTCTCCTGCATTGGCAGGTGAGTTCTTCACCACTAGCGCCAACTGGGAAGCCCAGTAAATAAGGGATACACAAAAGATGTCAAGTGTGATGTCAAATACGATAATCATGAGGGAAGGGAAGTAAAAATGCAGGATTGTTTAAATGTGTTTGTACTTAAGACAAGCAGCTTAAATAACCGTAGATGGATGGATGGATTGATGGGTGGATGGATGAATGGATGGAAGGTGGAAATGGATGGATGGAGGCTGGCTGGATGGAGAGGTGGGTGGATGGATGGAGGGATAGATAGATGGATATATGGGTAGATGCATGAGTGGGTGGATAGATAGCTATCCCCAATGTGGGAATATAGGCAATAACAATGTAACAATATCTTTGCAGAATGACACATCTTTATGCTATGATCATCCTCTTTGAAATGTACAGAAATATCAAATTACTCTGTTGCTTAAAAGAAACTAACAGTGTTGTAGGTCAATAATACATCAAAAACAAAGTTATAGAAAAGGACATCAGATTTGTGGTCACCAGTTTGGTTTAGGGGAGGGGAATTGAATGAAGGAGGTAAGAGGTGCAAACTGCTATTAACCAGATGAGTAATTACTGGGGGTGTGACGTACAGTGTGACAGATATAATCAGCCCTGCTGTGTGTTATATGTGAAGGTTGTTAACAGAGTAAAACCTGGGAGTTCTCATCACGTGGAAAAATATTTTTTTCTGTTTCTTCAACTTTGTGTTTGCACGAGACAGTGAGCGATCATGATTTCTTGATGCATATAAGTCAGGTCATTATGCTGCACACTTTAAATGTCTTCAGTGCCTCTGTCAGTATCTCTATGAAACTAGAAGGAAAAGAACAGTTGAGCTCATTGGAAGCTTAGAAACAGTGTTTCTGAATTCCCTGGTTCCTGGAGGCTCCTGGTCACTGGGCCTGTTCTGTCACAGGCAGAGCAGCTGTTCCTGCTTACAGGAGGACAGGCCCGGAGAGCGGGTCCCAAAGCTGAATGACACTTTACAAACCGAGGACCAAGGCCAGAGCCGAAGTGTCAGTGGTTTTTGGTGAGAATGTGTAAGTGAAGACATCTGGTAGAAAGTGCTGTGTGAGGAAGGCTTGTTTTTGACTTGTGACTCTCTTTTGTAAGGAACTCACGACGACAACTTCCCAGCTTCCTCCCGCAGTACCCGATACCAGACAGGCTTAAAAAGTGTGTGGAACAGAAAATCGACATCCTGACCTTCCAGCCGCTGCTTGCAGAGGTAAGGAATGTGTCTTACGCAAAGCACTGATTCTTCTCCATACTCGAGCTGTTTTCTGACAAAACTCAGGATGAACCCTTGTTGAGTTCAGAGGTCATGTGGGCTGGTTTTCACCCCGGGGAGCTGGGAGTGTCAGAATATTGAGTGTGGAGACCATCGCTGGGTCCCTCTGGAGACAGTCCATCCTCACAGCCTTATGGACTTACATGCACCAGGGCTCTGGGGATACCCTCTCCCCACCTGGCCTTTCTCCTGTGTGCCTGAGCCTCTCGGCAGCTCTCCACTCCTGCCGGAGCTCTGAGCACTAGGAAGGCCTGCAGCTGTGCAGAGCAGTGGGGAGCGGAGGGGGCTACCCTCCCCAACCCCGACCCTCGGGCGTCCTCTGCCAGGATGGCTCCTCCTCACCCCCCCAGTGCTGTGTGTTCTCAGGCTTCCTCATACCTTCTGGAGGAGGCCTGCTTCGAACCTGTCTGCTGTGACGGGAGGAGAAGGGCTGGGAGTCTGAGGGCAGGGCAGTGCTGAGTGAGCCCCGGCAGGGCTGGAGCCTGTGTGTGTGCAGGGGGAGCAGAGATGTCTGCTCCACTGGCAGGGAGGAGGGGAGCGTGGCCCTGTCTCCAGGAGGCATCTTCCCAAGAATCTGGGGGTCTGTTGGCTGAGGACAGGGTGAGTGGAGTGAGAACTGGGCCTGTGTTGATTCGGGGCAAGGGGGAGGAGAGGCCACTTGGCCCTGTGTCAGAGGAGAGCTTGAGCCCATGGCTGTGCGGCAGCTAGGAGCACGCCCGACACTGTTGAGACGGACCGACAGACAGCTGGGGCCTCCATCTGCTGGGCCCTGTGTCCTCCACAGTGAGGGTGCCGCAAGGGCACCCGCAGCAGACTGCACCGAGGCTGGCTGACCACAGGGAAAGGGCAGCACCTGGAAGCGTGTGGGCGAGGCCGCGGGTGGCTGCAGTGATGCCTGTCGGCCTGAACTGAGGCCGGAGCAGCAAACCCGCCCTGAAGTAGCTCAGAGCAAACCTGGGGCTGAGAAGCGGATCCCAGGGCGGTGATCGTACATTGTCCTGCAGGCCTCCTGTGACTTGGCCTGGGCGCCAGGACAGGACCTCCTCGGGAGTGCAGTTCCCAGGAGAAAGTGGCTCCTTTCAGCAGTGGTAACATCACAGAACTGAGATAGTGCACCTGTCACTCAGCACTTCTGCGCCCTGTGACCTCCCCACCCCCCCCCCCCCCCCGCAGTGTGGCCCCTCCTGGGGCGCCTCCCATATGCTGGGGGCCTGCCCGGTGGGTTCCCCACCGCCCTGTCTGGGAGGGGCCCTCTGGGCCCAGGAGGCGTTGCTTTCCTTCTCAGCTTTATTCTTTTGTACGAAGTCTGTATTTTCCCCTATCTCCTTTTAGGGTTTTCACTAGTTTTAAGGCATTTAATTCACAGTGTGCCTTGCTGTAAGTTCTTCACGTTTCTTGGCTTGGGTTCTTTGAGCTTATTGGACAACCAGAACTTACAGTTCTCAGATTTCAAGGTTCTTGACCATTCTGTCTTCACGTGTTCCTTCTGCCCTGCTCTCCAGGCTCCTGTGACAGGCACGTGCGGCCACATGAATTAGCCCGAGTGCCGGCTGCTCCCTTCACTTCTCTCCGTCTTTCCCCACTGGGCTGCATTCTGAGCAGTTGCTCTGGCTTTGTCTTCAAGGTCACTGATGTTTCTTCTGCAGCATGTGATCTCCTCCAGACACTGCAGTTATTGCCTCCACAAGTTCAGTGAGGGTCTTTTATATCTTCTGTATTTCTACTTAATGGGCTTCCCTGGGGCTCAGATGATAAAGAATCCACCTGCAATGCAGGAGGAGAATACAAGAAACTCAGGTTTGATCCCTGGGTGCAGAAGATCCCCTGGAGAAAGGAATGGCAACCCACTGCAGTATCCTTGCCTGGAGAATTCCATGGACAGAGAAGCCTAGTGGGCTACAGTCCATGGGGTTGCATAGAGTAGGACATGACTGAGTGACTAACATTTTCACTTTAACTTCTCTACTTAATATGCTTCATCTTTCCTCAACTTTCTTTTCACTTCCATTTTTTTCCCTCCAGTTTTTGAATGTACATAGTTAAATATATAAAGTATATAAATTTGTAAGAGAACTGTTTTATGTGTTTGTGTACTGATTCTATCCCATGGTTTTTTGTGTTTTTTTTTTTTTCCTTTTGAACCTTTTATCTTGTTTGGAGTTTAGCTGATCAGCCGTGTTGTGATAGTCCCAGGTGAACAGCGGAGGGACTCAGCCATGCATATACATGGATCCATTCTCCCCCAGACTCCCCTCCCGTCCTCAGCGTTGAGCAGCGTTCCCTGTGCTCCACAGCAGGTCCTTGTTGGTTATCCACTTACAGCAGTGTGTGCATGTCCCCCCCAAACTCTTAACTGTCCCTTCTCCCCATTCTTCCCCCTGGTAACCGTAAGTTCCTTCCCTAAATCTGTCAGTCTCTTTCTGTTTTGTAAATAAGTTCATTTGTATCGTTTCTTTTTAGATTCTGCATATAAGGAATATTTCTCCTTCTCTGACTTAACTCCTGGGGTCATTTTTTTGTTCTGTAGATAGGTTTTTCTCCTCGTTACAGGTTGTGGCTTGTGCTCATTTCCGTGCCTGATCATCTTTGGATGCTAAACAAACATCCAGCATTCTACTTTGTTGGTATTTCTATTCCTGGAAGTAGCTTTGAACTTTGTTCTAGGATGCAGTTAGGTTAGCTGGCAGTGGTTGGGTACTTTTCAGCCTGGATTTAAAGCCTCGTTAGACCAGAGTAGTTTTTACTTAGGGCTGATCCCTTCTGAATCCCCCACCCAGTGCCCCTGTATCTCAGGCCTTTCTGTTTAGGCTAGGGGCCCCGCGGCACCTCAGCCCTGTGTGAGCTCTGGGAATTGTTCTTTCCAACCCAGTGGCTCTCAGCAGGGGAACTTGCCCCCAGGCGACACTTGGTTGTCTCAGTTGGTAGTGCCTGCAGCCTCCAGTGGATGGAGGCCAGAGGTGCTACTCACTGCCGTGCTCTGCGCAGCTCAGCCCCGCTGCAGAGGCTGGGCCGCCCTGGCGTCTGCCGCCCCACGCACCTCCCTGTCTGGCATAGCTCCTCCCGCTCATGTGCTCGCTGGGCCCTGGGAAGCTCCAGAGCACTGTGCTGCACCTTTTCCCCTCCCCGGCATTCGGCCTCCTGGGACCCCCAGCCCTGCCCCCTCCGCGCAGAGACCACGAGGCTGCTAGGCGCGCTCCGTGCAGAGCCTGGCAGCTCTGTCTGGGTGGGAGCTGGGCGGCTGTGGGCACACTCAGATGGCTCCCAGTCTCAAGGCCCGCCGCCCTGCATTTACCCAGTCATCGGCGTTTGAAGGCTGGTTAGTCTGTCCTTTGGCCTCCTGACCTGAGCGTGTGTGGAGTGCCGCTCTGCTCTCACTCACAGGCTGCCTTCTTTCCAGCTTTTGAATATGTCAAACTACAAGGAGAAGTTCTCAACTTTGCTCTGGCTGGAGGAGATTCATGCAGAAATAGAACTGAAGGAGTATAATATGAGCGCGGTCACCTTGAAAAGAAATGGGGATCTGCTCGTTCTGGAAGTCCCAGGACTGGCTGAAAGTCGGCCTTCTCTGTATGCAGGTGGGTTTCTTACGTGTCATGTTCTCCTCGGTGGACTGGCAGCCACTGAACATGGTCACGGAAGAGAACACGTTAACTGGCAGCGCTGTCGTCACATGAGTTGCCTTTTCTTTGGGTATCTCTCTCAGCACATTGACATGATTTTAAGCCATTGACCTCATAGTGTTTTTGGCTTATCCCACTTCTTCATAGTGCTTCATCTTACAATACAGCAGCAGAGTTTATTGCGTTTGTAGTTTTCATGTGGTGATGTGTTTTTTAACTAGGTGATAAACTGATTTTAAAAACCCCAGAGTACAATGGACACGTGATCGAATACATCGGCTACGTGACTGAGGTGAGAGGCCACTGTTAGTCAGTCCATGTGGGGCTGGCCCAGCAGACCACTCACAGAGGTGACCCATCTGCCTTGGGGACGAGGGAGGGGGTCCCCTGGGTGTTGATGGCATTTTAGAAAATCAAGGATCAAGTGAGTATTTAAATAAGTGTGATACATAAAGAGAACTTTGTAACTGAAGAAATCCTATCACTTTCAGCCATGAACAGCGTCTTGTTATCACATCAATATCAAGGTATCACATGGGTATCTCATGGAAGGCTTGCATTTACTCAGATTTGAGTGTTCTGAACATGTCCCAGAGGGTAGACTGGTCATGCCCCCAGGGGCCACTCTGTGGACTAAATCCTCAGCAGAAGCAGGGCCAGAGATGTCAGGGGTGAGACCCCCATGGCCCTGCCCCCAGGCTGGCTGGGGGAGCAAGCAGCGCCACAAGCTGGAGAGTCCAGAGCTGAAGCTGCGAGTGCCGGCCTCCGGGTGAGGGCGCCCTGCCGACCCTCCTGCAGGACCACCTGGAGCCGCCACTCCTGAGTGATGGGCTGCCAGGTGAAGCTAGGGCTGTCTCAGGTCTCAGTCTATTGCTTCATTCAGTTCTCTGGAACTCCTTGGCAGGTGCCATGGCCTGGGTACCTTGAAGGCACCAAGGCCCTCGAGAGCCCCCAGATGGTGTGGCAGGCGGCACGGTGCTTCTGGGAGCTTCCTTGGCTGTGCCAGCACTGGCCTCCCCTGGCCGCCGCCTCAGAGGGCCTGCCTGTCTGGGGCAGCGCACGGAGCACTTCCCCCCTTCTCCCTGAGTCTGGCTGTGTAAGCACAGCCCATTGTGTTCCCTTGTGTTATCTTATGCTTGCTTATCTTGGTCCCCCTAGTTTTTTTTGTTTCATAGTTTTTGAAGTTTCTGTAAACGACAGTGTCAGTACATGATGTCCTCGGGGCCTCGATCTGTTGACGACTGTGCTAGTAGGCCCTCACTGTTTGTGGTTTGTTTCTTTGTCTGCTTGGTGGTCTTTGATTACGGGTTTATTTTCATTTGTCTTAACCTGTGGGAGAACTGGGGACCTGTGCTTGCATTTGCTTCTGCCAAGAGCAGGGGCACAGTTAGCCTCACGTCACGGCCCCCAGCTCTTGGGAGAGACCCCACTGCCTGTTGCCCCTCGCCTCTCAGCTCCTCAGCTCGGGATTTTCCATCCTGCCCATCTCGGATTGTTACGTAGGATCTAGTTCTGGCTGGAGGGCCCCTCAATGTCTAGTACCCTGTCCTGCTGGAAGGGGGTTTCAGAATGATGTCCATGAGGCAATTTTGTGGTCAGCACACCCTGCTGTTAGTGGTCACTCACTTGTTGCTTTGGAGGTGGCAGCCTGTCTCCAGCATAGGCTGTCTGGGCCCCGAGGAGAGCGCGACCTGGGGGAGGGGTCAGCAGGTGTGCTAATGGGGCTGGGGGCGCAGCGGCACAGTGACGGAGTCTTCTCAATATTTTTGCACACATTTCAGATACCAGATTTTAGCTCTGATCTATAGGATGGGTTTTGGTGATGCATTATGACTGTGGGTGGAGGATTGTCCAAAGCAAGCATAAAGATGAGAAGTAAAATATTTTCCTTTTTAGATTCATGAAGAAGATGTAACTCTTAAACTTAATCCAGAATTTGAACAAGCATATAACTTTGAACCTATGGATGTGGAATTTACATACAACAGGTAATGCTTCAGGGACTCTTTCTGCTGGGTGGGGGGCTTATCCCCTTCGCTCGGCCCCTTGAGGCCTCAGTGGCGGCATGGGCGCTGCAGGTGGTGCTCCTGCCCCTCTCTGTGGCCACAGCTTGGTCAGTGGACATTTGTAACATACTGAGCTGCAAACATTTGCACATCCGTTCCTTCTTGGACCTGAAGTGAGAATCCCCACGCTCAGTCACCACTGCCACCGCTCCCTCTCATCCCTCGTCACGTGTCACCAGCCATCGGTTCCCTTCCTCCACCAAGCCCCCCACTGTTAGCAGGGATTTTGTGTTTCTCTTCGCTTTTTTAAAGAATAGTCTGTGTCTGTGCATATGCGCATGCACACACACACAGGAAAGCTTGTGTTAGCTGTAGCTGCTTTGCACTTGCAGCCTGTGGTCTCTGGAGTTGTGTGTGTACTGACATGAGGTTGACATGCCAGGTCCTTGGCACGCTTGTGCCCCCGTGTGCTCTGCCCCGTCTGTGTGCCAGCTGTGCTGCCGTGGACACCCACTCCCTCCTCGTGCACACACACCCCCTCAGGCTTCCTTGGCTGCACACTTAGGGTGGGGGGTCACAGCTGGGGGTGTTAATGTTCCAGTGCTTACATGTGGCGGGAGAAGCAACCCCGAGGTCAGGATCTGTAACACCCTCCCAAAACCTGGTTTTGGGAAATGTCTGAATTGGTGCCAGCCTTGTAGGTGTCTGCTGTTTCCTCTGTGGTTGTGAGGTATGTTTCTCTGATGATGTCTAAGGTTATGGATCTCCCTGTTTGTTGGCCATAAAGTTCCTTCATCTGTGAAATGCTTGCTCATGTCTTTTATTGAGTCATTTGATTTTTATTATTTGTAGGAGTTCTCTCTGTATTCTTTATATAGACCTTTCTTAGATTCAGGCATTACAGATAACTTCTGTGATTTTGTTACTTGATTTTTCACTTCATAAAGTATCTTTTGAGTGACAGAAGGTGGTACTTTTTATAGTGAAACGTACCTGGGATTTTGTACATTTTGTACATTAGTGCTTTTCATGTCTGGTCTTCCCTGGTGGCTCAGTTGTAAAGAATCCACTTACAAATGGGGAAGATGCAGTTTTGATCCTTGGGTCGGGAAGATCCCCTGGAGAAGGGAATGGCAACCCACTCCAGTATTGTTGTCGGGGAGATTTCACGGACAGAGAAGCCTGGCCGGCTGCAGTCCATGGGGTCACAAAGAGACAAGACTGTGTGACTGAGCACACACGCATGCTTTTCACATCTGATTTAAGAGGTCTTGGTGTTTGGAACACAGCCAGATGGAAACGTCTTGAGGATGAATGGATGGTGCAGATGTGGAGTCGGCCTCTTGAGGGGTGTTTGCCTGTGAAAGCAGAAAAGACAGGAGAAAGAGACCAGTGAGTGAGGAGGCGCCCGAGGCCCAGAGGTCCTCCCTTGCTTGTGTGCCGACCAGGGAGCGCGAGTGACTTGTGGGGACACGGCTCTGGACCCAGTTTGCAGGCCATGGTCTCTGGGGGCAGCGGCACATCCTCCTTGGTGCTGAGCTGGCACAGCAGGCAGAGTGCTGGTGAATGGGGGTGTCTGAGGGCTTGTGGTTGCTCTGAAACAGGAGGCGGGATGCTCACAGAGGAAGGGGAAGATGTAGATCTGAGTGAGGTGGCGGAGTGGGGGGCAGAGGCAACATAGCTGCAACTGGTGTAAGAGGAAACCGACTGAGGGACACAGACGGCAGGATGGGTGGGAGCGCTGTCGGATCTGAGCCCAGGAGAGAGAGGGAGCAGGAAGCGGCTCAGGACCCTGGGCGGCTTCTTGACCCAGCATCGTCCAGGTGGGGCATAAAGGGGGCGGGACAGCCGCCATAAGTGAGTGAGAAAGCCCGGGGGTACTTCTCCACACAGAGGTTCTGCTCCAGATAAGTTTTTGTTTCCCTTTTTTGTTGTTCTTTTTTTCCCCATTTTTATTCTTTTATCTATTTTCTTTTGGTTTATTTCTTCTTGTTTTTCTCCCAGATAATTTTTGGTGGTTTACATTAAGTTACTGCCCCAAAGAAGAGTAATGTCAAAGAATGTTCAAACTACTGTACAGTTGCACTCATTTCACAAAATTCTTCAAGCTAGGCTTCAGCAGTACATAATGCAACAACTTCCAAGATATACAAGCTGGGTTTCAGAGAGGCAAAGGAAACAGAGATCAAATTGCAGATATTTGTTGGATCCTGGACAAAGCAAGGGAGTTGAAGGAAAACATCTGTCTCTTTGCCTGTGTGGATCATAACAAACTGTGAAATATTCCTAAAGAGATGGGAATACCAGACCACCTTACCTGTCTCCTGAGAAACCTCTGTGCAGGTCAAAAAGCAACAGTTAGAACCAGACGTGGAACAATGGACTGGTTCAAAATTGGGAAAGGAGTACGACAAGGCTATATATTGTCACCCTGCTTGTTTAACTTGTATGAAGAGTACATCATGCGAAATTCAGGACTGGATGAATCACAAGCTGGAATCAAGATTGCCAAGAGAAATACCAACAACCTTAGATATGCACATGATACCACTCTAATGGCAGAGAATGAAGAGGAACTAAAGAGCCTCTTGATGAGTGTGAAGGAGGAGAGTGAAAAAAACTGGCATGAAACTCAACATTCAAAAAACTAAGATTGTGGCATCCTGTCCCATCACTTCATGGCAAGTTCAGTTCAGTTCAGTCGCTCAATCGTGTCCAACTCTTTGCGATCCCATGGACCACAGCATGCCAGGCCTCCCTGTCCATCACCAACTCCCAGAGCTTACTCAAACTCATGTCCTTCAAGTCATTGATGCCATCCAACCATCTCATCCTCTGTCGTCCCCTTCTCCTCCTGCCTTCAGTCTTTCCCAGTATCAGGGTCTTTTCCAGTGAGTCAGTTCTTCCCATCAGGTAGCCAAAGCATTGGAGCTTAAGCTTCAACGTCAGTCCTTCCAATGAATATTCAGGACTGGTTTCCTTTGGGATTGACTGGTTTGATCTCTTTGCAGTCCAAGAGACTCTCAAGAGTCCTCTCCAACACCACAGTTCAAAAGCATTAATTCTTCGGTGCTCAGCTTTCTTTATAGTCCAACTCTCACATCCATACATGACTACTGGAAAAACCATAGCTTTGACTAGACAGACTTTTTTCGGCAGAGTAATGTCTCTGCTTTTTAATATGCTGTCTAGGTTGGTTATAGCTTTTTCCCCAAGGAGCAAGCGTCTTTTAATTTCATGGCTATAGTCACCATCTGCAGTGACTTTGGAGCCCAAAAAAATAGTCTATCACTGTTTCCATTCTTTCCCATCTATTTGCCCTGAAGTGATGCCATGATCTTAGTTTTCTGAATGTTGAGTTTTAAGCCAACTTTTTCACTCTCCTCTTTCACTTTCATCAAGAGGCTCTTCAGTCCCTCTTTGCTTTCTGCCATCAAAGTAGTGTCGTCTGTGTATCTGAGGATATTGATATTTCTCCCAGTGATCTTGATTCCAGCTTGGACTTCATCCAGCCCAGCATTTCTCATTATGTACTCTGCAGGTAAGTTAAATAAGCAGGGTGAAAATATACAGCCTTGATGTACTCCTTTCCCAATTTGAACCAGTCTGTTGTTCCATGTCCAGTTCTAACTGTTGCTTCTTGACCTGCATACAGATTTTTCAGGAGGCAGGTAAGGTTCAGAAAGAATGAAGAGATGGAGCCAAAGCAAAAACAAAGCCCAGTTTGGATGTGACTGGTGATGGAAGTAAAGTCTGATGCTCTAAAGGACAATATTGCATAGGAACCTGGAATGTTATATCCATAAATCAAGGTAAATTGGAATTGGTCAAACAGGAGATGGCAAGAGTGAACATTGACATTTTAGGAATCAGTGAACTAAAATGGACTGGAATGGACAAATTTAATTCAGATGACCATTATATCTACTACTGTGGGCAAGAATCCCTTAGAAGAAGTGGAGTAGCCATCATAGTCAACAAAAGAGTCTGAAATGCAGTACTTGGGCGTAATCTCAAAAACAACAGAATGATCTGTGTTCATTTCCAAGGCGAACAATTCATTATCACAGTAATCCAAGTCTATGCCCCAACCACTAATGCTGAAGAAGCTGAAGTTGAACAGTTCTTTGAAGACCTACAAGACTTTCTAGGACTAACACCCCCCAAGAAATGTCCTTTTCATCATAGGGGACTGGAATGTAAACATAGGAAGTCAAGAGATACCTGGAGTAACAGGCAAGTTTGGCCTTGAAGTACAAAATGAAGCAGGACAAAGGTTAACGGTTTGGCCAAGAGAATGCACTGGTCATAGAAAACGCCCTTTTCCAGCAACACAAGAGAAGACTCTACACATGGACACCACCAGATGATAATACTGAAATCAGATTGATTATATTCTTTGCAGCCAAAGATGGAGAAACTCTGTATAGTCAGCAAAAACAAGACCAGGAGCTGACTGTGGCTCAGATCATGAATTCCTTATTGCCAAGTTCAGACTGAAATTGAAGAAAGTAGGGAAAACCACTAGGCCATTCAGGTATGACCTAAATCAAATCCCTTACGATTATACACTGGAGGTGAGAAATAGAGTCAAGGGATTAGATCTGATAGAGTGAAGAACTATGAACGGAGGTTCGTGACGTACAGGAGGCAGTAATCAAGACCATCCCCAAGAAAAAGAAATGCAAAAAGGCAAAGTGGTTGGTTGAGGAGCCCTTACAAATAGCTGTGAAAAGAAGAGAAGCAAAAAGCAAAGCAGAAAAGGAAAGATACTCCCATTTGAATGCAGAGTTCCAAAGAATAGCAAGGAGAGGTAAGAAAGCCTTCCTCAGTGAGCAATGAACAGAAATAGAGGAAAACAATTGAATGTGAAAGACTAGAGATCTCTTCAAGAAAATTAGAGATACCAAGGGAACATTTCATGCAAAGATGGGCACAATAAAGGACAGGAATGGTATGAACCCAATAAAAGCAGAAGATATTAAGAAAAGGTAGCAAGAATACACTATACAAAAAAGATCTTCATGACTCAGATATCCATGATGGCGTGATCACTCACCTAAAGCCAGACATCCTGGAATGTGAAGTCAAGTGGGCCTTAGGAAGAATCACTACGAACAAAGCTAGTGGAGGTGATAGAATTCCAGTTGAGCTATTTCAGATCCTAAAAGATGATGCTGTGAAAGTGCTGCACTCAATATGCCAGCAAATTTGGAAAACTCAGCAGTGGCCACAGGACTGGAAAAGGTCAGTTTTCACTCCAATCCCAAAGAAAGGCAATGCCAAAGAACGTTCAAACTACCGCACAATTGCACTCATCTCACATGCTAGCAAATAATGCTCAAAATTCTCTAGGTGAGGTTTCAACAGTACATGAACCAAGATCTTCCAGATGTTCAAGATGGATTTAGAAAAGGCAGAGGAACCAGAGATCAAATTGCCAACATCTGTTGGATCATCGAAAAAGCAAGAGAGTTCCAGAAAAGCATCTACTTCTGCTTTATTTACTACGCCAAAGTCTTTGACTGTGTGGATCACAACAAACTATAGAAAATTCTTAAAAGAGATGGAAATACCAGACCATCTTTCCTGTCTCCTAAGAAACCTGTATGCAGGTCAGGAAGCAACAGTTAGAACTGGACATTGAACCATAGATTGGTTCCAAATTGGGAAGGGAGTACATCAAGGCTGTATATTGTCACCCTGCTTATTTAACTTATATGCAGAGTACATCATGAGAAACACTGGGCTGGATGAAGCACAAGGTGGAATCAAGATTGCCAGGACAAATATCAATAACTTCAGATACACAGATCACACCACCCTTATGGCAGAAAGTGAAGAGGAACTGAAGATCCCCTTGATGAAAGTGAAAGAGGAGAGTGAAAAAGTTGGCTTAAAACTCAACATTCAGAAAACTAAGATCATGGCATCACTTCATGGCAAATAGATGGGGAAACAGTGGAAACAGTGACAGATTTTAGGACAGGGAAGCCTGACATGCTGCAGTCCATGGGTTCTCAAGGAGTCGGACACAACTTAGCGACTGAACAACAGCAACAAATTAAGTTACTCAAAATCAGATCGTTTCACACTTCAGAAAATCTGTATTTCCTCCTTGTTTTGAAAATGAGAGGATGGACGACACGGCAGTGCAGCAGGTGAGACAGAACCAGGAGTCCAGGCCTCTCAGTGCACAGATGGTCCCCTCTTATGCTCCTTCACAAGTATTCTTCCTCCTCACAACAGTAGGTGTACTGAGATACAATGATCATAAAATGGTTATGCCTGTTTAAAGTGTACAGTTTCATGATTCTGATGTTTGCACACCTCTTGGATCCATCTTCACAGTGAAGACCGTGGTTCCGCAGGTGTTTCCTGGTGCCCCGTCCTGCCTTGTCTGTGCCCCAGCACCCAATCTCCAGAGGCTTGTTTTCATTTCATAGAATTTATGTTAATTGGAAACATACAGGACCTACTCTTTTTTTTGGTGGCATCTTTCACTCAGCTAATTATCTTGAGATTCAGCCTGCTTTTGCATGAATTCATTCCTTTTTATGAGTAATATTCCCTTGTAAGACCATACCCTGGCTCACTAATCCAGGCACCTGTGGTTGGACTCTGGCTTGTTGCTTGTCGTGGCCGTCACAGATGAAGCTGCTGTGAGCATCACGCCGAGTGTCTGTGTGGCCAGGCATTTCCACTGCTCTTGGGTAAGTGCCTGGCAGAGCCAGAGCTGTGCACAGCGGCTGGCGTACACTGGGTGTCAAGAGGCACTGCCAGGCCCTCCTCCAGTGCTGCGCAGCCTTTGTGCCCACAGCGTGTGTGAGGTTCCACCTGGCCCACAAGCTCACAGCCGCTGGGTGGTTGGTCTTGCTGCTGCTCGTGGCGGTGTGAGGTGTGCAGGGGGGGCTCCTGTGGTCTTGGCCATCTTCGCTCTGATGACCAACACTTGCTGGCCATCACTTGGCCTTGGTGAGAGTGCCTGCTCCCGTGTGTGGTTCACAACCTCCATCATTTGCTTATTTTTGTTGGTCTGGCAAATTGTTCACATATTCTCAGTGCAAGTCCTTTATGATGTGTGTCTTTGCAAGTGTGTTCTCAGACTGTGGCTTGTGTTCTCATTGTTTGTACAGCGCCTTTTGAATAGCAGAAGTTCTTAATTTTGATGTCGTTCAGTGTACAAGTTTTGCTTTGATGGATTATGCTTTCAGTGACACGTTTAAGAAGTCTGCCAAATTCAAGGTCATGAGGGTTTTCTCTTACGTTTTCTTCTATAATAGAAATTTTACAGCTTGAAGTTTTATATTTATGGCTGTGATCTGTTCCGTTTTTTCAGATGATGCCAGGTGTGGATTGACTATCACCAGGGGGTGTCCAGTTGTCTCAGTACCGTGTGTTGAAAAGACAGACTGTCCTTTGTCCAGTGAGTGACCTTTTCATCTTTTTAAAAGCCAGTTGACTTGTGCCTGTGGATCTGCTCCTAAGCCCTTGGTTCTGCACCATGGATGCGTGTGTCTGTCGTGCGGCCACACCACAGAGTCTTGTCTGGGTGCCCTCGTGGGAAGTCGTAAAGTCGAGGGGACAGCCTCCAGTGAGTCCCTCTTCTTCAGAATGGCGGCTCTTCTAGGTGTTGGCGTTCCGTGGGGATTTTAGGTTCAGCCTGTCAGTTTCTACAGAGAGCCTGTTGAGATTTTGGTCAGGATGACATGACGGACACTTTAGGTCCACTTAAGGGACAATAGACATCTTTTTTTAATTGGAGTAGAGTTGATTTACAGTATTGTGTTAGTCTCCAGTGTACAGCAAAGTGATTAAGGTACATATTTCTTCCAGATTCCCTTCCCGTTCTGAGTTATTGCAATGACCTTCTGGCCTCGGTCCCTTCCTCACGCCCGCTCCTTCCTGCCTGTGAAAGCCTTCTGTTGTGAGCGGCTCTCCATGTTCCTTTTTGTCTGCAGTTTGGACTGCCTGGTTCTAATCAGTTTTTGCTCTAATAAACTCTTAAAATTTTAACGTACGTCAGCTTATCTTTTTAACTGTTTTGAATAAATTTCATAGGAATGAATCTTCACCATCAGTTACTTCCCTTTTTAAGAAGTTTTTTCACTTGTCTCTGGCTATGCTGAGTCTTCGCTGCTGAGCTCAGGCTCTCTCTAGTTGCGGCGCTACAGGCTTCCCACTGTGGTGGCTTCTCTATGAGCACAGGTTCTAGGCTCAAGGGCTCAGTAGTTGTGGTGCATGGACTTGGTTGCCCCGCGGCATGTGGGCTCTTCCTGGGCCAGGGATCGAACCAGTGTCCACTGCATTGCAAGGCAGACTCTTAACCACTGAACCACCAGGGAAGCTGAAAGTTACTAGATTGATGCAAACATAATTGCAGGTTCAGACTATGACTTTTAAATCATTATAACTAGACTCAAACACATTTTTATTAGTCAAAATAGGAACCATTACAGTCAACACATTTTGCCAGCGAGAAATAAGTTTGTTTATTCCTGTAATGCAAAAATCCTTTCTTCAGGATTTGATGAACTCTTGGAAAGCATTTTCTGCTTCCTGTTGGTTGTGGAAGTGTTTTTCCTGCAAAAAGTTACCAAGATGCTTGAAGAAGACGTAGTTGGTTGGCAAGAGGTCTGGTGAAAATGGCAGATGAGGCAAAGCTTTGCAGCCCAATTCATTCAACTTTTGAAGTACTGGTTGTGTGATGTATGAGGGCGTTGTCATGGAGAAGAATTGGGCCCTTTCTGTTGGCCAGTACGAGCTGCAGGCATTGCAGTTTTTGGTGCATCTCATCCATTTGCTGAGCATACTTCTCAGATGTAATGGTTTAGCCAGGATTTGGAAAGCTGTAGTGGATCAGACAGGCAGCAGATGACCAGTAACCATGACCTTTTCTGGTGCAAGTTTGGCTTTGGGAATTGCTTTCGAGCTTCTTGGTCCAGCCACTGAGCTGGTCATTGCCAGTTTTCATATAAAATTTACCTTTTGTCACACATCACAATCTGACCAGGAAATGGTTTGTTGTTGTGTAGAGTAAGAAAATGACACTTCAGAACGATGATTTTGATTTTCAGTCAGCTCATAAGGCACCCACTTACCAGGTTTTTCACCTTTCCAATTTGCTTCGAGTGCAGAACAAGCATAGAATGGTCAACATTGAGTTCTTTGGAAGCTTCTCGTGTAGTTGTAAGAGGATCAGCTTCAATGATGGTTCTCAGCTGGTCATTGTCAACTTCTGACGGCTGGCCACTATGCTCCCGTCTTCAAGGCACTCGTCTCCTTTGCAAAACTTGAACCTCGACTGCACTGTACGTTCACTAGCATTCCTAGACCAACTGAGCTGTTGATGTTGTGAGTTGTCTCTGCTGGTTTATGACCCATTCTGAACTTGAATAAGAAAGTTGCTCAAATGTGCTTTTTGTCAAACATTATTTCCATAATCTAAAATAAATATAAGTAGTAAGTCAGTAACAAAAAGACATAAAGCAAGAAATGTTCATTAAAATAATGTATAATGTAACTGCATTTATTTAAGAATGTGTTCCAGTATCAAATGGCAAAGTTCAACAGTGCAAAACCAAAATTACTTTTTCACCAACCTAACACTTTCCCACTGATGCAGCATTGTTGCTATTTCTCTGACACTTCACAGGCTCTATTTTCTTTTATTCTACTTGTTCACTTTATACATTAAACAGAGATAGTCCCAGAAAGGAAGGCATCCCTGCTACTCTGACACATTTACAGTTTTCCTGGTAAACTCCTGGCATCCTGATGACAGCCTCATGGCCGGTGGGGCTTCTGATGCTGCCTAGCCTGGGCTCTGAGTGCCCGTCTCCTGAGGCGCCAGGCGCTGACCTGTGTCGCTTTCTCCTCCGCAGGACCACCAGCAGACGATGCCACTTTGCTCTTGAACAGGTCATCCACTTGGGGGTAAAAGGTACTACTTTGGGGGGATGGTGGTGGTATATCTTCCTGGAGTATTTTAGAAGCTTCCTATAGAATTTTGTGTAAATAAGTTTCTTCAGCTGTACATTAGAATTGAGTTGAAATTCTGATATCCAGTGTTTTTTCTGTTGGGGAGGTTCAGTGTTTTCTGACAATTTCAAGTATGTAGAAATAGCACGCTTAAATTATTAACAATAAAATGATTTTACTCTGCTTCCCCATCTTAATATAAGTCGTTTGTAGGCTACAAATGAACAAGAAAATGGCGTGGTTGCAAAGAACATGCGGTGCTGGCGTTACGCTGCAGCTGAGGAGCAGACCTGGGGCAGGGAGCAGAGGGTGCACAGACATGCGTGTCTTCTCTGTTCACCTTTCTTAAGCTTCTCAGTAATATCTGCCTTCTCGTGTTGTCTTGTTTTAAAAGTGTTGTTTCCAGAGGAAATCATTTTACAGCCTCCCCAGGTGACATGGAATTGGACCCATGCACAAGACACCAAAAATGACGGACAGTCTACCTCCAAGGTACTGATTTGATATGTGTAAATAGATAATAGTTTCCTCTCAGTTTACTGGTGCATCACAGGAGTATAGTGAATGTAGTTCACAAATAACCCCACATCGCAATGAAAGTAAAACTAACTATTCACTATGTAAAGTCTGTTTACCCTTACATATGTAGGGTAATAACAGCTGCAATATACTGGGGAATAATAGGGGAAAGAAAGATAAGGATATATTGTGTGAGCATGTAGTTTTATTTTTTTGTTTTTATTTATTTACTTTTTAATTTTTTAATTGAAAGCTAATTGCTTTACAGAATTTTGTGGTTTTCTATCATTCATAACAAGAATCAGCCATAGGCACACCCATGTCCCTTCGCTCCTGGATCTCCCTCCACATCCCACCCTCCCGCCTGTCGCAGAGCCCTTGATTCACTTCTGCGAGTCATACAGCAAATTCCAATTGCCCATCTATCTCACATATTATTTTGAATTTCAATGTTACTGTCTCCATACATCTCCCCTTCTCCCTCCTCTCCTCCTGCCGGGGTCCATAGGTTCATAGCTGTTTCTCTGAAAGAGAAATTAAGAAATCAATCCCATTCACCATTGCAACAAAAAGAATTAAAATCTAGGAATAAACTTACCTAAGGTGAAAAAAGACCTGTATACAGAAAACTATAAGACACTAGTGAAGGAAATCAGTTCAGTTCAGTTCAGTCGCTCAGTCGTGTCTGATTCTTTGTGACCCCATGAACCACAGCACACCAGGCCTCCCTGTCCATCACCAACTCCTGGAGTTTACTCAAACTCACGTCCATCAACTCAGTGATGCCATCCAACCATCTCATCCTCTGTCGTCCCCTTCTCCTCCTGCCCTCAGTCTTTCCCAACATCAGGGTCTTTTCCAATGAGTCAGTTCTTTGCATCAGGTGGCCAAAGGATTGGAGTTTCAGCTTCAACAGCAGTCCTTCCAATGAATATTCACGACTGATCTCCTTTAGGATGGACTGGGTTGGATCTCTTCGCAGTCCAAGGGACTCTCAAGAGTCTTCTCTAACACCACAGTTCAAAAGCATCAATTCTTCAGTGCTCAGATTTATTTATAGTCCAACTCTCACATCCACCCATGACTACTGGAAAAACCATAACTTTCATTAGATGGGCCTTTGTTGGCAAAGTAATGTCTCTGCTTTTTAGTATGCTGCCTATGTTGGTCATAACTTTTCTTCCAAGGAGTAAGTATCTTTTAATTTCATGGCTGCAGTCACCATCTGCAGTGATTTTGGAGCCCAAAAAAATAAAGTCTATCACTGTTTCCACTGTTTCTCCATCTATTTGCCATGAAGTGATAGGACCAGATGCCATGGTGTTAGTTTTCTGAATGTTGAGTTTTAAGCCAACTTTTTCACTCTCCTCTTTCACTTTCATCAAGAGGCTCTTTACCTCTTCTTCACTTTCTGCCATAAGGGTGCACATCTGAGGTTGTTGATATTTCTCCCGGCAATCATGATTCCAGCTTGTGCTTCATCCAGCCCAGCGTTTCTCATGATGTGCTCTGCATATAAGTTAAATATGCAGGGTGACAATATACAGCCTTGATGTACTCCTTTACCAATTTGAACCAGTCTGTTGTTGCATGTCCAGTTCCAACTGTTGCTCCCTGACCTGCATACAGATTTCTCAGGAAGCAGGTCAGGTGTTCTGGTATTCCCATATCTTTAAGAATTTTCCACAGTTTGTCGTGATCCATGTAAAGGCTTTGGCATAGTCAATAAAGCAGAAATAGATATTTTTCTGAAACTCTCTTGGTTTTTCAATGATCTAGCAGATGGGGGCAATTTGATCTCTGGTTCCTCTACCTTTTCTAAATCCAGCTTGAACATCTGGAAGTTCATGATTCATATACTTTTGAAGCCCAGCTTGGAGAATTTTGAGCATTACTTTGCTAGCATGTGAGATGAGTGCAACTGTGCAGTAGTCTGAGCATTCTTTGTCATTGCCTTTCTTTGGGATTGGAGTGAAAACTGACCTTTTCCAGCCCTGTGGCCACTGATGAGTATTCCAAATTTGGTGGCATATTGAGGGCAGCACTTTCACAGCATCATCTTTCAGGATTTGAAATAGCTCAACTGGAATTCCATCACCTCCACTAGCTTTGTTTGTAGTGATGCTTCCTAAGTCCCATTGACATCACATTCCAGGATGTCTGGCTTTAGGTGATTGATCATACCATTGTGATTATCTGGGTCATGAAGATCTTTCTTGTACAGTTCTTCTGTGTATTTTTGCCACCTCTTCTTAATATCTTCTGCTTCTGTCAGGTCCATACCATTTCTGTCCTTTATTGTGCCCATCTTTGCATGAAATGTTCCCTTGGTATCTCAGATTTTCTTGAAGAGATCTGTAGTCTTTCCCATTTATTGTTTTCTTCTCTTTCTTTGGACTGATCGCTGAGGAAGGCTTTCTTATCTCTCCTTGCTATTCTTTGGAACTCTGCATTCAAATGGGTATATCTTTCCTTTTCTCCTTTGCTTTTTGCTTCTCTTCTTCTAAGCTATTTGTAAGGCCTTCTCAGACAGTCATTTTGCTTTTTTACATTTCTTTTTCTTAGGGATGGTCTTGACCCCTGTCTCCTGTACAGTGTAACAAACCTTTGTCCATAGTTCTTCAGGCACTCTATCAGATCTAATCCCTTGAATCTATTTGTCACTTCCACTGTATAGTTGTAAGGGATTTGATTTAGGTCATACCTGAATGGCCTAGTGGTTTTCCCTACTTTCTTCAATTTCAGTCTGAACTTGGCAATAAGGAATTCATGATCTGAGCCATAGTCAGCTCCCGGTCTTGTTTTTGCTGACTATATAGAGCTTCTTCATCTTTGGCTGCAAAGAATATAACCAATCTGATTTCAACATTGACCATCTGGTGATGTCCATGTGTAGAGTCTTCTCTTGTGTTGTCGAAAGAGGATGTTTGCTATGACCAGTTCGTTCTCTTGGCAAAACTCTATTAGCCTTTGCCCTGCTTCATTCTGTACTCCAAGGCCAAATTTGCCTGTTACTCCAGGTATCTCTTGACTTCCTACTTTTGCTTTCCAGTCCCCTATAATGAAAAGGACATCTTTTTTGGGTGTTAGTTCTAAAAGGTCTTGTAGGTCTTCATAGAACCATTCAACCAGCTTCTTCAGCATTACTGGTCAGGGGATAGGCTTGGATTACCATGGTATTAAATGGTTTGCCCTGGAAACGAACAGAGATCATTCTGTCATTTTTGAGACTGCATCCAAGCACTGCATTTTGGACTCTTTTGTTAACTGTGATGGCTGCTCCATTTCTTCTAAGGGATTCCTGCCCACAGTAGTACATATAATGGTCACTGGCATTAAATTCACCCATTTCAGTCCATTTTAGTTTGCTGCTTCCTAAAATGTCAACATGCACTCTTGCCATCTGCTGTTTGACCACTTCCAATTTTCTCTTGATTCATGAACCTACCATTCCAGGTTATTATGAATTATTGCTCTTTACAGCATCGGTCCTTGCTTCCATCACCAGTCACGTCCACAACTGGATGTTCTTTTTGCTTTGACTCCATCCCTTCATTCTTTCTGGAGTTATTTCTCCACTGATCTCCAGTAGCATATTGGGTACCTACCGACCTGGGGAGTTCCTCTCTCAGTGTCCTATCTTTTTGTCTTTTCATACTGTTCATGGGGTTCTCAAGGCAAGAATGCTGAAGTGGTTTGCCCTTCCCTTCTCCAGTGGACCACATTCCGTCAGACCTCTCCACCATGACCCATCCATCTTGCGTGGCCCTACATGGCATGGCTCATAGTTTCATTGAGTTAGACAAGGCTGTGGTCCATGTGATCAGATTGGTTAGTTTTCTGTGATTGTGGTTTTCAGTCTCTGCCCTCTGATGGAGAAGGATAAGAGGCTTATGGAAGCTTCCTGATGGGAGAGACAGGGTTTCCTGAGGGGGGAAACTGGGTCTTGTTCTGGTGGGCGGGGCCATGCTTAGTAAATCTTTAATCCAATTATCTATTGATGGGTGGAGCTGTGTTCCCTCCCTATTGGTTCAGTTCAGTTCAGTTGCTCAGTCCTGTCTGATTCTGCAACCCCATGGGCTGCAGCACACCAGGCCTCCCTGTCCATCACCAACTCCTGGAGTTTACTCAAACTCATATCCATCAACTCAGTGATGCCATCCAACCATCTCATCCTCTGTCGTCCCCTTCTCCTCCTGCCCTCAGTCTTTCCCAACATCAGGGTCTTTTCCAATGAGTCAGTTCTTTGCATCAGGTGGCCAAAGGATTGGAGTTTCAGCTTCAACAGCAGTCCTTCCAATGAATATTCATGACTGATCTCCTTTAGGATGGACTGGGTTGGATCTCTTTGCAGTCCAAGGGACTCTCAAGAGTCTTCTCTAACACCACAGTTCAAAAGCATCAATTCTTCAGTGCTCAGATTTATTTATAGTCCAACTCTCACATCCACCCATGACTACTGGAAAAACCATAACTTTCATTAGATGGGCCTTTGTTGGCAAAGTAATGTCTCTCCTTTTTAGTATGCTGCCTATGTTGGTCATAACTTTTCTTCCAAGGAGTAAGTGTCTTTTAATTTCATGGCTGCAGTCACCATCTGCAGTGATTTTGGAGCCTAAAAGAGTAAAGTCTGTCGCTGTTTCCATAGTTTCCCCATCTGTTTGCCATGAAGTGATGGGACCGGATGCCATGATGTTAGTTTTCTGAATGTTGAGTTTTAAGCCAACTTTTTCACTCTCCTCTTTCACTTTCATAAAGAAGCTCTTCAGTTCCTCTTTGCTTTCTGCCATAAGGGTGGTGTCATCTGCGTATCTGAGATTGTTGATATTTCTCCCAGCAATCTTGATTCCAGCTTGTGCTTCATCCAGCCCATTGTTTCTCATGATGTACTCTTCGGGTAAGTTAAGTAAGCAAGGTGGCAATATACAGCTCTGATGTACTCCTTTCCCAATTTGGAACCAGTCTGTTGTTGC